ACAGAGATGACATCTTGCCGATCGCTTGTGACTCAGAGAGCGAGAGTTCTCGCTCTCGATGTAACAGATGTCCATTGGTTCGGGACCTCATGTTTGCTGTCGTCTCGTCGGACGATAGTTAGACGAGTTAGCCTGAGACTGTCTCAGGCTAAAGTCTTCTTGTTCCTCATAAGCTATCGCCTTTCTAAGCGTATGGAAGTCCTCTTGGAACACGTAACTTCACCGGCCCATCCACAAGTCCGTAGATGAACACGTTGATGAGCGTGTGCTCATCAACAGGGTTTTCCGTGACGCTACTCGCAAGGTAGCGTAGGTGTTGTGCGTAAGAGTGATCGTCACGCTTACTTCGCTTTAGCCTCAAGAGTGCTAAGCGTGCTCTGAACTCGGCTCTAGGCGGCTCAAACGTCTCTTTGAGCCGAGACTTCAAGAACTCTAACGAACCAAACACGTTTGGGTCGTGAAGCTTGAGCCCGAAGGCCCTAGTCTTTGCTCGTCCCGTCCAATTTGACAGGGCGAAGGTGACTTGCATCTCGTCACCCTCGATGCGACGGTCTCTTACGGCGTCGTCTGACTCGACGAACCATCTCAAAAGAGAATCTTCATTGGTTCCCTTGTACCTTGAAATATATGTCTTCAAGATTTCGGGTCGACGCGTGTGCGTCGGCCCACCCATCGACTACTGAGTAGCCTTGCTGTTTTAGCAAGACTATCTTTTATCTTTCGACGGCAAGTTACCCTTGTAGGAACTCATTCATGGCAGCATGTTGCTGGTCTCTGCTTAGAGACTCTACCATACCACTGATGGCAGGTCCGCCCAAGAGCACACTCATACGGCCGACAACTCCCATTATGAGTCACTCAGATGGGAGTAGCCTTCACGTGTGACGTGAAGGCTGTCGTCTTCTACGACCAACATGTTCATGTTGGACGGCACTAAGCAGTCGTTGGACGGACTACGAAGTGTTACCAAGTGTAACAGGAGACTGTTTGTTTGGGGTGCCGCGAAACTTCACGAACACTAGTACGTGCAGATGAAGCTAATTTACTAAAACAGCTGATTTGAGTTAAATGTAAAAAAGGAAGTGTATTCAATGTAGTTAAGCTATTAATATGACTTTAATCTTTATCTAACTATATTAAACTACGCCGTCGTATGACGACAACCTGCTCACAACTCATTGCGCGCGTCTAGCAGCGTTTGGTGGCAATCTATGCTTGATACGTCTTATATCAACCAATCTTGGAGCAGCGAATGAATACAATCCAAAAGGGGATTGTATTCCTTCGACATTATCCATCTCGTATAATATCAGTAGAATATTTTCATGCTAGACAATATTCCTATTGACACCGTTTGGTGTCAATTTCATGTAACGGGCTACCCCGTTACAAGTGGGATACCATCCCGTATGTCTGAGACACAGGGCACCGATTACCCTACGATGCGTAATCCCTTTACAATACACTACGTCTCTCAGACCATTGAGAAAACCACCCCGAAAAGATCCGACGAAGGCCTTTCGTTTTAATGCAAACATATTATGACCTTCCTTTACACCACCTTGTAGATAGACGAGCTAGTAAACACAATACACATGTTGCATGCTGATCACCCTCTATGTATGCTTGAGTGCTACTACATAGCTTCTTCATGGATCGCCTGTTGTGGACAGCTTTGCATAAGAATTGCAGATTCACTGCTATTACCTCACTTTCCTGGATCTTTATCGCTTTTACTGCCGTTTTGTCCTTGCATGATAGCCTTCCGGTAGTGTCAGCATGTTAAGAGCGTGTCAAGCGTCGTCAACACAAAAATAGATTTTCTTTGATCTAGTTTATGCCTTAATGTTTTGTAAAAAAGGGAGTCAGAAGTACGATAGCGTAGGTGATATGGGATCAAATGTGGAACAGGTGCCTCCGTTACATGACAGTTTGCACAGGAAAAATACTTAGTACGAATAATCTGTTTGGACAAACAGAATTTTTTACAACATTGGCAAAATTAGTAATATTGTGTGCAGAAGTAATACACTGCTCATTGGTTGGTACAGATCAACGATATCAATCAATATAGCCGAGCCGCGACAGAAAAACGCAATGGGTGGTAAGCAGGTAGTTACAATACATATTTAAATTCAGGTACAGTTACGTGAAGACTAAAAGGAATCATTGACAGGAGATTAACTATACTGAATACAGTTCTACTTTTATTCTTTTTTCGCGTTGAAACCTTCCTTTGCACGACGCGTGTACGTGAGGTCTTTTAGCACCACCTTACTCTGTGTTTAGCGTAAATCGTTTTTACTGTGACAGTACAAGCGACCGGTGCACCGTTACAGAATGGACCTTATTTCTGAAATATACAACAAAACAAATTGGCAATTAAGGCGGTTTCAAATCCAATGACTTGTTTAATGTATGGATTGAAGGCTCGTTGGCGAAAAGTGAAGGCTCATTGGCGGCTCCCTATCTTTAAATGGTCGAGCTCGAGAGCTTGCTTCTCTATCTTGTGCATTACAGGTGTCAAATGTTGATAAGGTCGCTCATTGTGACCGCGTAGATCGTGCAAGTCACACATGCACTAATGCCCACACTGATTAGTTCAATAATGCCTAAGGGAGAACAGAGGGCTATGACACGCATATGTTCGACACTCAGGGTAGCGCAAATCTCATACTCTGGCAAACATGTGAAGTAGTTTTTCATGCAAAGGACTTACTGTATACAGTAAAGAATTAGAACTTACCGTCACCTTCCTTGGTCAGTGGCATAGTAGCTCCTTCAATTTCAGTTTTCTTTTGCATTATTCGATTGTATGTCACTTGCCGCATTTTGCGGTTGGCAGCGTTGATGAGCAGTCTCCCTACTTTCATTCACGTCTTTTTACAAAAACATCAACGTATATCAACGGGAAGCTCGAACACGCAACCCATCGGCAATTTCAGCTTTCAATACACATCGAACAACCGATTCTCTAGCCGCCAACCACCCGGAATGTTACGAGATATACAGAGCTTGAGTCAGCTCTCTAAACTAAAAAATATGAACGGCCGAGCTCCAGAGCTTGCTCCCCATCTTGTTGTATACAGTGACCGGGTCACTGTTCGTCCGAATGCCATAAAAAGCTGTACACTCTAGAGCTGCGTAGTAACATCTGCCGAAGCCGAGGACACTCAACTTCTAGCATCTTTAAAGTCTTGAGACGTATCGCTCGTCTAACAATCTGGTGTGGAACTGAAATCAGGTGTGACAAGGGAATTTTTCCTGGTGAACATCTATATTTAGTTCGGTCCGCTGCCTTCTATCTGACGAAGCTGGTGCAATGTTTCATGGCATCTTCCTTATCTCATTTTTCACGAATTTTGTCCGTAAGCATCTACCGTCACGAGAATCTCGACAGGATGGCTTCTTTCAATGCTACAACTGAACGAATTAAACCGTCGGCGCTGGATTCTACCGATCTAGAACAACCACAAATTGACCCAAATTGCGTGTGCTACCGACCCCTTGCACCCTTCCCTCACGACAGATGATAGGTGCTTGCGATACATCTGTACAACGTGTACGAGCCGCAGTCAGGAAGAGCAGCCTCTATCGATTTACCAAATTGCTGCGACTACAGCAGGCGGACAAGTGAACAAGGCAACTGTGTAGGTGCTGATCTCGATAGTCTACGCTACACGTCGATGGTGTCAGTGTTGGGCTGCAAAATATATGACTGAGCACGGCCTGGACTTTGCGTACAAAAAATATTACAGCTACCATGGACATCACGATAGCTTCTAATGGCTTAGCGACCTGCTTAGCTAGTGCATCATGTCCGTAAGATGAAGCGCAGCTTGTTTATAGTACTTAAAAGAGCCTAAAGAGCCATACTCGGTAGAATGGAAAAACCTAGATACGAACGAAAGTAAGTGCTGCAGAAAAATAGTCAAGGTCGCGGACGATGCATACAGGCACGTTAATTGACCACCACGTCGAATGCTAGGTTAAACATTGTTCACATCTAGCCATTTCAGTATATTCATGTTGTGAAAAGCTTTTTTCCTCGTTTTATTCTGTTCTTCTCAGGCTGCGCTGATCGTCCAGCGACAGATTGAACCTTGACGTGGTACTGCGATTGGACGGCTAGCTTGGTGCTACACAGTCGAGTCGCATGACTCGCAATTCATTGCACGAAAGTGCTTCCAGCACTGAGTACGTCCATTTCCAGTGCACGTGCGCTGGTCGATCTCCCGCTACGTACCTTTTCAAGATATACTGACGGCAAAATAGCCTGCCAGATTGTCTCGTGGCCCCATCGAGATCTCGCACGAAGGTTTGTTGATGCTCCAAAGTGATCTGAATGCAGATTGTCAAATGAATAGTTTACGGTCGCGCCTGCCATCGCTAGTCCCTGCGCCAAGTTGCGTGCAGCTTCGTAGATCAAAACAGCAACAAGGGCCAAACATTGTGAAACTGAATGGACAAAGTGTCGCAAAACGCAGCGCCAGCAGACGGCACGTAGGCCGTAGCCTTACGTAAGCAAATCTCCGTGACACATGTACCATCGAGTCGGTACGTGATCCCACACGTGCGATGTGCGAACCGTATGGAGGACGCGGACCAGACGGTAGTCAAAACCGGTTCGTGGTTGCTTGAGCAACTTCAATACCACAACCACTTCTGAGGCAGATGAGACAGCTGAAGTACTCCGCTTCTGTCAGTCGTGTCTACCTCAACCGACTTTCTTTCTCGTCCGGCCAGATAATCGTGTCTTTTTTGCACGGTCGTGTGATTGTGCTCGATTGTTTCCTCGGCTCCTCTGAACATTAGCAAACACTTTCTCTTTTTCTGAAAGATTCGGTCGGTCCCGTCCCGCCACCACATTATATATCGCGGGATTATTCCGACAGTTTTTATTGGGATCACTTGGCATTGGAGACCGTACGTCAGGTCACTGTGTCTTCGTCTCTCGCACTTCGTTCCAGTTACGTGTAGACAGTCAGACCGTGAGTGGTATGTGGAGCTGCAACGATTTCCGTGTCGTGGTAACCGCTGGTGAGTAGCTATTCGAGACTTTCGTATGGTTTCCTACGCTGGACAAGTGTTAGTGTCTATCGTGCTAATGCTTTTTTTTCGGTGTGTCTGTGTGTATGTGTTGGTCAATCAGCTGCGGTTGTCGTTGTGCACGTGACGACAGCGAAATCATCGTCGTCGTCGATCTCTAGTGCTATTTGCTACGACGTTACCGAGTGCCACGTGAATGGGTCGCCGTCCAAGATGTGTGACCGCACAGGGAAGGGATGCCATCCATGCCTCAGTGACCGAGAGAACGACTCGCTCTTTTCCATGTTACATTTGAAAGCCGAGTACAACTGCTTTGCGGTCAGAAATGACGGCGAGTGTCCAAGCGGCACGACCAAGTGTGCTACAAGTACGTGCTTGATCCTTGCAGAATGGACTTGCTTTTTCTTAGTGCGACGAGATGCTAACGTTCGTGACCTTTGCTGCTTTGTTGTTGACTGATGTAGCTTTGACAAAGGAAGACGAAGACGTAGAGCAAGCACAAAAGGAAGACGAAGACGCAGAGCAAGAGGAAAAGGAAGTGAAATTTACGACAGGGTCGGCGGAGGCTGAAAGTCCGGAACAGAATCCTTTCTCGTCCTTGCTGGCTAACTTGACTAAGGACGAATTGGATTCTTCCGGCAGCGCTTTGTCCGAACCGACGAGCCTTAACTCTTCTTCCATGACCAAGCACGGGACCCCGCTTGCACCCATCGATAGTGCCAGCGGGAGCTCCGCCACGTCCGGAGCAAAAAAAAAATCCACGACCGAGGAGCCCATGAAGCCAGTCTCCAAGAGTTTGCCGTTGTCGTCGTCTCCGAGCAGTGATGACTCATCTGAAGAAGCATCTAGTGCCTCCGCCAGCGCCAATTCTGAGTCCTTATCCAAGTCTTCTTCAGCTCAGGAGTTGGACTCAATAGTGCGAACCTCTGCTGAAACCTTTGGATCCGAGGAAGAGCTTGCCGACAATGTGAGTGAGACGGTGGCCCCGGTCACGAAGTCAACGACAACTCAGTCCACCATCAGGGACACGGCACTTAGTGAGAAAAACAGATTGACAAACGGCGCACCCGACTCGACCCCGGGTACCGGCATCAACTTTGGCTTGATCCTGGGTATCGTTGGTGGTGCTACTGCGATAGCAGCCGTCGCAGCTTTTGTCGTTTGGAAAAAGAATGAGGGTGGTGATGATTCGGACGATGAAGAAGCAGCGTTCTCTCCCAGCAAGCCAGCTTCGACCCATAAAGCGACCGCGCTACCATCTGCATCGTCAGCAACGACAGCGTATTCAGCTCACACGAGCTGCTTCGAAAGCGACAATCTCGAGTACCAGTACGACAATGATCAGCACCACAATTACGGCGGCGGCGGCTACGGTGGCAATGGCTTTCCAGGCGCCACGGCAACGCAGTACGCTGATGGTGGAGGAGTTGCACCTGGAACGTTACCAGTCAACTACGGCCACCCGTTTCCCATCGACATCGATGACGATGACAACAATATACTGCGCCGAACAGACAGCATTCTGGGCGGAACGGGTGTCATGGCTAGCACCACATCGAGTTTGCACAATCCTTTCGAGTTCACCGCCGGTTCGAGTTATGCCATGAGCGACACTGACCAGGACTTACGGGACAGTGGCGATGAACTCCATGGAGCCAGTACTGTGTCCGTGGAGTTTTAGGCTGCTGATTGATAGGAACTCTGTGTGACGGCCTAGTAATGATAGCGCTCGTTGTATCTGTTAGAATGGTACTTATTTGCGCACTTCTCTTTCATGATAATAAAAAGCGAATCTCCATGTCCAATGATTGCCGGCTTCGTCTTTCCGTGTTCTTGAGATTGACGTCACTGAGGCCCTGTGTCTATCTGCTTTTACCTCTTCGATCCAACAAAGAGGGCATATCAATTGCTCAAATCTCGAGCGCGTAAAGCGTAAACGCGAGCTGCGAGCCAAAGCCTGCAGCGAAACGAAGCGCATACTTGTGAGCGTAAGCACCTCCTTTAGCTAGACGAAGAGGCGTCTCGCCCAAGTTCGGGTCGTGGGTTTCAAAGTGCACCACGGGTGGTACGCAGCCGTGACGTAGACCCTCAATGGCAGCCACGTCTTCAAACGACACGGCCATAGGGTGTCCGGTAAATCCTTTCGTATTTGCAATCATCAGCTGAGCCAGCAATTTCGAGCCGAAAGCCGTACGCAACGCGGTCACTTCCGTGTAAGCACACGAAGATGTCGCAGAAGCATTGGTGCCCGTCTCATGGCTGTAGTAGACTCCATTGCAAGCTATTTCCTCACGAGTAATACCAAATTCGCTCTCTATGCGTTGCAAGAACCGCATGAGCTCTTGTCCAACGTGGTTTGGCTCCAATGCAGCACCATGATAAGCTGAGTTACTAAATTGAGAGGCAACCAGATGCACAATCGTCTTCTTGGCAGACCCATTCACTGAACGTTCTGCAAAAGCCAGAGGAGACTCTACGACCAGCCCAATTGCTCCGCTACCGACAATCATACCGCTACGCTTTGCGTCGAACGGACGTGCTGCGGCGTTGGCCGTCGGAGCGATGCATGCAGCACCAAGTGCTCGAAAGCCACCACCAATTAATGGCATCATGGTCTCCGAGCTGGCAGTGTCACTCGATACCACAATCACCCGCATACACTTGCCAGACCTTATCCAATCCTGAGCCATGCCAATTGCTTGCGTCGCGCCTGCGCATGCCGCATTAATTTGCGTGTTAGGTCCACGTGCTCCAACAAGCTGAGCAAGCTGAGCGTTCGCGAGCACTAGCAGCCGAAATAAAATCTTCGTATCCATTTCATAAGCCGACGCACCCTCGTTCTTGCTTCCTTCATAGTATCGAGAGGTTTCAGACACTGCTGCATCCAGCGCAGGAAATGATGTTGCGTATATCACACCTGTCGAATCGTGCATATGATCAGGCAAATGCCAGTTCGCACTAAATTCATCCACAAGGCCAGCACTACGAATGGCCTCAAGACCAGCAGCCACGGCCAACTTAGTGGGCTCATCCATCGAGCGCGCAATGGTAGCAGCAATGCCATAATCTCTCTCGAGGTCCATCTCATTCATGATCGCAGACACTTGAATACATTTCTCACGAGCAGAAACGGGAAAACGGGTCACGTTCCTGGTTGTTTTGTCCTTGCTAATGTGTACAATGTTCCGAGTCACCATCCTGTCCTTGTCTGCATCGGTAAGCTCATGAATACAGTTGTCGCCTCGCAACAGTTTTTCAACCGACTTTTCACCCTCGAACACCTTCGTTTGGCCAGGTAGGCCGACACTAGTACCAGTCACATAAACAGCGCCAGCAACTTCCAGCATCGTACTATTTACGCGACGTTGTTCCTCTACGCCACTCTCGAGCGCAGCAGCTGACTTTAAACAAACATAAAAGCGGCGGCCCATGTCGTCAATGCGGTCGAGGTAATATTCTCCGTCAGGGATAGAGGCAATCGATTGCGTCAGCTTCAAATCATATTGCATACCATATGTGACCTGACGCAACTTCATACGTGCAGTGAACTCTTCCGGAGACTTTTTAGTACGACACGCGAGACGAGCGGTCAGGTTGAGGGACTTGGCAATATTTTCCAGTGAGAACTTGCCCTTAGCTGATTCGGACGGCTCACGCGTTTGGAGCACAAACATAGAAGCAAGGCTTCCCGAGCCGTACGAAAATAAAAGAACCCGAGCACCTTGTGCTAGTTCCTTAGCACGCACGTGAACCAACGTAGCCAAGTTCATATATACCGCAGCCGTATAGGAGTTACCCAGCTGTTGGGAAGTGGTGCAACTTGGCGACACCTTGACCTTAAAATCCTCCCTCGCAACATCACGCGCAGCAAGATCCAGCTCTCGGTCGTTCAGTGTCTCATATAGAGGCGTGTCTGCCCACTTCCTCAACGAAGCATATTTTTTCTTAGCAGCCTCATTACCGCTGCTCACTAAACGCCTCGAGTCTAGAAAACCCAGACGTGCAAACGATTTTTGTACCAGTTTGTGGTACGGAGAGTGAAACACTGCATAGTCAACAGACGTCACGCCAATTGCTTCTTGATCAGCTGCAGCCAATGATTTGCTCTTCTTGCAGAAAAGCAAATAGCACTCATCGAGAGCATGCAAATAGCATGCGTTCGACAGTTGACCGTCCACTGTCGGGTACTCGCTACTCATATGGGGCTTATAAAAGTCCCACACATTAGTTGCATGAGTAGCTTTTGTCTTGCAGTCCAGTACCATGGGAGCGTCTGGTCCAATGAGCATCGCCACAGCGCCACAGCCGCCACTAGGGCGCGCAGGTCCCTTAGCATACACTGCAATGTCCACCGCAACTACAACAGCATATCTCCCGTCCCAGAAACAGCTGTCGATCCACGCTACAGCGTTCAGCAGCGCTGCTGTGCCGCCATAACAGGCGTTTACAATCGTAGCGCCATCAATGTCAGCATTGTCTTCAAACAACTGCATCAGGACCGTCTTTGTCGACTTGCTCTTGTCCAGCAGCGTCTCGGTACCTACTTCAAGTCGTCCAACTTGCTCTGAAGTAACGCTAAAGTTACGCAAAAGCCTCGAGACTGCAGTCAACGCCAGCGCGTTCACGTCCTCGCGGTCGCCAGGCACCGCCATGCCCAGCTGCCCTAACCCTATCGAGTACTTACCACTGCTGACGCCGTCGTAAACCTCCATTTCTTGCTGGTCAACGTAGGCGGACGGGAAGTGCACCTCCATTGCCAGGATACCGACATTAAGCGGACGCGAAGGTGTGGTCATTGTCGAGATTTGGTTAACAAACGTGCATTTGACGTTCCTAAAATATAGAAATGCGTGGGGTATGGGCAACGGGGTTACTCGCTGTTACCAAACCGGTTATATTGCGTGTCCACACCAAGTAAAGATCGGTGGATCTGAGTGGTACAGTATTCATTCATTTACGTACGGTAATACCGCACCTTATCGATTAGGGATGGGAGCTCTGTCGTAGGATCGCAATGAAGCATTCAGTCAGACAAGGTTTTATGGTTTTGCCGGAGTTCAAGAATAAAAAAATTGTGTCCCCTTTTAAATCGTCGGACAGAAGTGCCTTGTAAAGGCGCACAGGTCCTCTCCCCCATAAGTTATAGCTTTGGTGGAGGTCAGATCCTATAACCTATCAGGGGTTATTCCATTTGGGAATAATCAATTAATTTACGATCACAAAAGCTGACCAATTATTTCTTGTTACTTATCAATACACTACAATATATGCATAACTATTAGTATTAGTACCACGATTGTCATTTATTGACCAAAATAGCGGACCACAAAACATTTATTTACCCTTCTGGTGGTTTACGCGTCCGGGCACCGCCTATGGAAATGATGGAGTCCTTGTGCGTACAATGCTTTGTCTTTGTGAGTGCATCGAATCCAACTTGAACATATTTAATTGAACACAATTAATTGATTATATCACACTCAACTGAGTCATTGAACCAAACACAGTTAAAGTACCTTCGTACACAGTTAAGTACTGTACCTTGTTTACATTTTGTGCGCGATTGCGCAACCTTTTGCAACTCGCCTGGCGGGCTGGCAACCGGGTGTCGGGGTATAAAAGGCACCCCTTTTCTCCCCCGACCAAACAAACATCCCTACATTCCTACATCCACACCTCACCTTCCCTCTCGCTTTCCCTCTCTCGCTTCCTGTCCACTGCCATTCCTCTCCCAAACCAACAACTTCCTTCAAAAACCCAGAACCACACACCTACCCACCCTCCCACCCTTACCCACCCACACATCAGAGATGTCTCAACTACGTCTCACCAACGACCAGAAGCTGAGGATCGTCAAACACAAGGAAGATCATCCGAGCCTCACCCAGACAGAGCTTGGATACTGGACGAAGGAGGCATTCGGCCTCCCCAAACCTATGACGCAGGCCTCAATCAGCAAGATCATCAGCAAGAGGAAGAGGCTTGAAGCAATGAGTCCATCAGAGCTCTCTGCTAAGCGTCCTCGCTCACTTCAACATTCTGTCTTTGAAGAAGCAGTGGCCCTCTGGATTTTGCAGTGCCAGCATCGTGGAGTTGCCCTCACCGGAGACCTTATCCGTGCCAAAACTGCAAGCTTTGCAACATCCATGGATATTCCGGATGGATCAATCAAGTTTGCCCATGGGTGGCTCTACAAATTCCAGCAGCGCCACAAGCTAAGGGCCGTCCGAATCCATGGCGAGAGCGGTTCAGTCGATGTTTCTGGACTTGAAGCAGCTCTACCAGAGTTGCAATCAGCCGTCGCCAAGTTTGCTCCCCGTGATGTGTACAACATGGACGAAACTGGTAAGTTCTCCTGAAGTCTTTTACGCTCTGTGTCATAAATGCCAAGATGATTTCCAGGATAATTTTACAGCATGACACCGGATAAAATCTTTGACCAGAAGGAAGTTGAAGGCTTCAAAAAAGACAAGGTGAGTTGCATTTGGCTTGTTGGAATCCGTGGGATCAATGGAATAATTGACATGTTTTTCCGACTCGCATCACAGTGGCTCTGATGGCAAACTGATGGATCTGATAAGCTCCCTCCATTCTTCATCGGCCGTGCAAACAAGCCTCGTTGCTTCCAATGGAAGTCAGGAGAAGAGCTCGGGTTTCTTTATCGCTACAACAAGAAAGCCTAGATGACTGGGGTCTTTTTCCAAAAATAACTTGGAAACCTGGACAGAGACATGAAGTTAATCGAACATTTGCCCGTTCTGAGATATCAGCTGCAAAACAAAGCACTTACCCAGATTCTAGCGCCAGGATAAAAACACCCTTCTGCTTAAGGACAATGCACCTTCGCACGTAACTTTGGATCTTGTGCTCACCAACGTCACCGTTCAGGCTCTGCCACCCGATACCATAACCAAGGTGCAGCCAATGAACGCCGGTATCATCGCTGCATTCAAGCGCCACTACCGGCGTCTGCACCTACATAACGCTTTGGATCGCGATGATGCGGGAGCGGCCGATCTCTACAAAGTTAATCAAGTCACAGCCATGCGTTGGTCACTTATGGCGTGGAGCGAGATTTCGAGCACCACCATTGCGAATTGCTTCAAGCACACTGGACTCATGAATGAGCCGACATCACCAGCAGTTGAAGGAGGTGCTTCAGCAGGGGACATTCAGCAGCCTGTGCAACAGGATGCAGATCTGGTTGACCAGGAGAAGCAGGAAGTGGAGAAGGATCTGGAGTCAGCTTTGCAACGCCTGCCTTTGAGCAATCATATGTCTATTGCGTCACTGCTCAATCCAGTTGATGAGGAGCCGACGGTGCATGCGAAGTTAAGCGACGCCGAGATCATCAAGCTCGTCCAGGATGCTAAGAAGGGGGAGGAAGGAGAAGCTGAGGAGGAGCTGGTGACACATTCCATAGCTGAGAAGCTCGCTGCTCTTGCTTTGTCCATTTCCCTTCTTGAACTCTCCCAGGATCAAGACCGCGCCGCCCACCGCGCTCTTCGTCGCATACAAGCCCAACTTCGTAGTGCTAATACAATCCAAACCACACTGGATTCATGGCTTAAATAGGCTCCAGGATGCTCCAAACAATATTCATCTACTCTTGACAAAACAAAATGCTCCACCTGATACGTCATATTGGGCCTGGGCGGGTATTCTTTATTACATAGTCGCCATAGAACGGCGTCGGAGGAACCAAAATCGTATAACTTAGCAGAAGTTACACCATGGGGGAAAACTTATGGGGGGCGGACTGTATTGTGTTGCTAAGATCAGTAGCCTTGTAAAGTCGTTTACTCTTGTTTAACTAGTAGCGACTAGTTAGTGTGTGATTCTGTGAATCGTAATCCCTTTAAAACCGGGATTATTAAGCTTGTACGCTGAAACGACTGTACGTCGTTGTTAGTTTTTTATGACTAAGAGACTCTTCGATTCTAAGACTTCCTCTGTTAAGGAGAGCTAAGTAGCTCCGCTACAGTATGGGTAGCAGATATGATGGTCACAAGATGGCCTCGGCAACGTAAGGTCAAAGGTCTTTCGGTCTTGCTCTATCTTCACCTTACCACAACCTTACCCTGATGGTCATTGGCTACCTTAACATTCATCTTACTCTATCCCTTTACCTATGTGTTTACCGGTAAACTTGCTTTTAAATGATAAAAAAATAAATCCGTGGATGTGTAGCTGTAATATTGATGTAACGACATCGCGGGTCATTTTAAATAGGTTGGCTGGGTGGAATGGCGTATGATCAAGTGGTGTACGCCAGGTGGTAGATCGAGCACACTGCACTCTTGCGGTATTTTATCAAAGCTCGCATTGGGCCTTAAATGCCATACCGGCGAATTAGTTGTGCAGCGACTGAACAACCCCATCGCCAAGATTATACTCGTCCCATTTTACATGTGCCATCTCGAGCAGCGCGACGACGGACTGCACGTCATTGGCGCCGGACTGTCCGAGTGCAGCTGAAGCTTGCCCTTCATTCACCGGCACTAATATGATACCGGCACCCATCTATGAGCGCATGAAACTTCTAAAGATGTGTATATGTACTGAAATGAAAAGAAGCATCATTTCCATGCATGTGACGAATAAACCACCAAAAGTTTTACATCTCGCATGATATGTTCAGCACTTCCGCGACACGTAAGTAATGGGTCCTTTGAAGTTAGTTTTGGGGACCCCGGTGTCAACGCTGCTGTAGTTTCCACTGTCGTTGGGGTCCTCCATGAATATATAGGCTTCAACATGCAGTTGCACGCAAGACACTAGCTTAAATGTTAGATGAACGCTTTATTAACTCTAGGGGCAATCCACAACTCGCAAAGTGCTTCACACAAACCCCTACGTCAAGCTTATCCATTTTTATCCGTAATTACCGGGTAATCGGACAGTTAGATCGTATTTAGCACCACTCTACTGCTACCTTGCCGGTCGACTATCCTTTACCCAAATCCACTAATTTTTAACCGTTTTACCGGGTAACGAGGGGTGTCTTGCTGTAATGGGGTATCCCGTTACATGATATTTACACCAAACGGTGTCAATAGGAGGATTGATAAGATTAATGTGCTGCTTAAAGATTAGTTGATGAGAGATATATCACCCAAGATTACTACCATTTGCTGCTAGACGCGCGTAATGCGTGGTGAGCAGGTTGTCGTCATACGACAATGTAGATTAATATAGTTAGAGAAAGACTAAAGTTAAATTAATAGCTTAACGATATTAAATACAGTTCTTTTTTACCTTTTACTCAAAATAGTTATTTTAGTAAATTAGCTTCCTCTGCACGTACTAGTGTTCGTGAAGTTTCGCGGCACCCCAAACAAAGAGTGTCCCGTTACACCTGGTAAAACTTCGTAGTCCGTCCAACGACTACTTAGTGTCCGTCCAACATGAACATGTTGGACGTAGAAGACGACAGCGTTCACGTCAAACGTGAAGGCTACTCCCATCTGAGTGACTCAGAATGGGAGTTGTCGGCCGTATGAGTGTGCTCTTGGGCGGACCTGCCATCAGTGGTATGGTAGAGTCTCTAAGCAGAGACCAGCAACATGCTGCCATGAATGAGTTCCTACAAGGGTAACTTGCCGTCGAAAGACATAAGATAGCCTTGCTACGACAGCAAGGCTGTTCATCAGTCAATGGGCGGGCCGACGCACACGCGTCGAACCGAAACCTTGAAGACATATATTTCAAGGTGCAAGGGAACCGATGAAGATTCTCTTTTGAGATGATTCTTCAAGTTATACGACGCCATAAGAGACCGTCACATTGAGGGTGACAAGATGCAAGTCACCTTCGCCTTGTCAAAACGTTTGACAGGACGAGCACAGATTTGGGCATTAGGGCCTAAAAATCACGACCCAAAGGTGTTTAAGTCATTAGAGATCTTAACGTCTCGGCTCAAAGAAACGTTTGCACCAATTGAAAATCTTCTCGCGGCCTGAATTTACAACGTCGAGCGTTGTCGAATATGCGTCGTCTCTCTGTGACGTAATCTGCCTTCAATCTCGATTGTGTTTGACCTACGTCAATACCAACTTCGACGACACGAGTGTAATACGGAAGAGAGAACTGAACAATCGAGTAAATGCCCCCCCCTGAACCCCAATGCACCGCAAGGATAACGATGTGGACTTGGTTGTACAGGTGGTCTAGCGAGGGCTCTGTTCAAATGAAGCACGGATAGCTCTCTTGAACGCAAATGACCGACAACAAACGCCAAAAAAGAGGCCATCAAGTGCGCGAACGGGCAACTCAAGGGTGCCGCATAACTCCGAGTGGCCGGAATCGAACCAGCGACCAATTGATTTCCGACAATACTGAAACACAGTATACAACACTACAGTCAATCGCTCTACCAACTGAGCTACACTCGGTTCAACACATGCGACACCCCAGACGCATTCACAATGCTTTTCACGCTGCTACACACCCTTTCACATCTTCTACACTGCAAGGAACACCCAAATAGACTTGCTGCACCTCTCCTTCACTTTTTTTGCGTGCAGAAACTCATCAAACGTGACATTCTAAACAGTGACACGTGAGCATCATACATTACTCAGGAACAGCCGAGAGGTGGATCTTGTGACGGCTGCATCTTCTGTGCCCACTGGGAGACCATCAGCGTACGCGAACTATGGCGATCGAAATGAAGAAGATCGCAAATCTCCTCGCGGCCTGAATTTACAACGTCGAGCGTTGTCGAATATGCGTCGTCTCTCTGTGACGTGATCTGCCTTCAATCTCGATTGTGTTTGGCCTGCATCAATACCAACTTCGACGACACGAGTGTAATACGGAAGAAAGAACTGAACAATCGAGTAAATGCCCCCCCCTGAACCCCAATGCACCGCAAGGATAACGATGTGGACTTGGTTGTACGGGTGGTCTAGCGAGGGCTCTGTTCAAATGAAGCACGGATAGCTCTCTTGAACGCAAATGACCGACAACAAACGCCAAAAAAGAGGCCATCAAGTGCGCGAACGGGCAACTCAAGGGTGCCACATAACTCCGAGTGGCCGGAATCGAACCAGCGACCAATTGATTTCCGACAATACTGAAACACAGTATACAACACTACAGTCAATCGCTCTACCAACTGAGCTACACTCGGTTCAACACATGCGACACCCCAGACGCATTCACAAAGCTTTTCACGCTGCTACACACCCTTTCACATCTTCTACACTGCAAGGAACACCCAAATAGACTTGCTGCACCTCTCCTTCACTTTTTTTGCGTGCAGAAACTCATCAAACGTGACATTCTAAACAGTGACACGTGAACATCATACATCACTCAGGAACAGCCGAGAGGTGGATCTTGTGACGGCTGCATCTTCTGTGCCCACTGGGAGACCATCAGCGTTCGCGAACTATGGCGATCGAAATGAAGAAGATCGCAAATCTCCTCGCGGCCTGAATTTACAACGTCGAGCGTTGTCGAATATGCGTCGTCTCTCTGTGACGTGATCTGCCTTCAATCTCGATTGTGTTTGGCCTGCGTCAATAGCAACTTCGACGACACGAGTGTAATACGGAAGAGAGAACTGAACAATCGAGTAAATGCCCCCCCTGAACTTCAATACACCGCAAGGATAACGATGTGGACTTGGTTGTACGGGTGATCTAGTGAGGGCTCTGTTCAAATGAAGCACGGATAGCTCTCTTGAACGCAAATGACCGACAACAAACGCCAAAAAAGAGGCCATCAAGTGCGCGAACGGGCAACTCAAGGGTGCCACATAACTCCGAGTGGCCGGAATCGAACCAGCGACCAATTGATTTCCGACAATACTGAAACACAGTATACAACACTACAGACAATCGCTCTACAAACTGAGCTACACTCGGTTCAACACATGCGACACCCCAGACGCATTCACAAAGCTTTTCACGCTAACACCCTTTCACATCTTCTACGCTGCAAGGAACACCCAAATAGACTTGCTGCACCTCTCCTTCTCTTTTTTTTGCGTGCAGAAACTCATCAAACGTGACATTCCAAACAGTGACACGTGAACATCATACATCACTCAGGAACAGCCGAGAGGTGGATCTTGTGACGGCTGCATCTTCTGTGCCCACTGGGAGACCATCAGCGTTCGCGAACTATGGCGATCGAAATGAAGAAGATCGCAAATCTCCTCGCGGCCTGAATTTACAACGTCGAGCGTTGTCGAATATGCGTCGTCTCTCTGTGACGTGATCTGCCTTCAATCTCGATTGTGTTTGGCCTGCGTCAATAGCAACTTCGACGACACGAGTGTAATACGGAAGAGAGCACTGAACAATCGAGTAAATGCCCCCCCTGAACTTCAATACACCGCAAGGATAACGATGTGGACTTGGTTGTACGGGTGATCTAGTGAGGGCTCTGTTCAAATGAAGCACGGATAGCTCTCTTGAACGCAAATGACCGACAACAAACGCCAAAAAAGAGGCCATCAAGTGCGCGAACGGGCAACTCAAGGGTGCCACATAACTCCGAGTGGCCGGAATCGAACCAGCGACCAATTGATTTCCGACAATACTGAAACACAGTATACAACACTACAGTCAATCGCTCTACCAACTGAGCTACACTCGGCTCAACACATGCGACACCCCAGACGCATTCACAAAGCTTTTCACGCTACTACACACCCTTTCACATCTTCTACGCTGCAAGGAACACCCAAATAGACTTGCTGCACCTCTCCTTCACTTTTTTTGCGTGCAGAAACTCATCAAACGTGACATTCTAAACAGTGACACGTGAACATCATACATCACTCAGGAACAGCCGAGAGGTGGATCTTGTGACGGCTGCATCTTCTGTGCCCACTGGGAGACCATCAGCGTTCGCGAACTATGGCGATCGAAATGAAGAAGATCGCAAATCTCCTCGCGGCCTGAATTTACAACGTCGAGCGTTGTCGAATATGCGTCGTCTCTCTGTGACGTGATCTGCCTTCAATCTCGATTGTGTTTGGCCTGCATCAATACCAACTTCGACGACACGAGTGTAATACGGAAGAGAGAACTGAACAATCGAGTAAATGCCCCCCCTGAACCCCAATACACCGCAAGGATAACGATGTGGACTTGGTTGTACGGGTGATCTAGTGAGGGCTCTGTTCAAATGAAGCACGGATAGCTCTCTTGAACGCAAATGACCGACAACAAACGCCAAAAAAGAGGCCATCAAGTGTGCGAACGGGCAACTCAAGGGTGCCACATAACTCCGAGTGGCCGGAATCGAACCAGCGACCAATTGATTTCCGACAATACTGAAACACAGTATACAACACTACAGTCAATCGCTCTACCAACTGAGCTACACTCGGCTCAACACATGCGACACCCCAGACGCATTCACAAAGCTTTTCACGCTACTACACACCCTTTCACATCTTCTACGCTGCGAGGAACACCCTAATAGACTTGTTGCACCTCTCCTTCACTTTTTTCGGGTGCAAAAACTCATCAAACGTGACATTCCAAACAGTGACACGTGAACATCATACATCACTCAGGAACAGCCGAGAGGTGGATCTTGTGACGGCTGCATCTTCTGTGCCCACTGGGAGACCATCAGCGTTCGCGAACTATGGCGATCGAAATGAAGAAGATCGCAAATCTCCTCGCGGCCTGAATTTACAACGTCGAGCGTTGTCGAATATGCGTCGTCTCTCTGTGACGTGATCTGCCTTCAATCTCGATTGTGTTTGGCCTGCATCAATACCAACTTCGACGACACGAGTGTACTACGAAAGAGAGCACTGAACAATCGAGTAAATGCCCCCCCTGAACCCCAATACACCGCAAGGATAACGATGTAGACTTGGTTGTCCGGGTGATCTAGTGAGGGCTCTGTTCGAATGAAGCACACATAGCTCTCTTGAACGCAAATGACCGACAACAAACGCCAAAAAAGAGGCCATCAAGTGCGCGAACGGGCAACTCAAGGGTGCCACATAACTCCGAGTGGCCGGAATCGAACCAGCAACCAATTGATTTCCGACAATACTGAAACACAGTATACAACACTACAGTCAATCGCTCTACCAACTGAGCTACACTCGGTTCAACACATGCGACACCCCAGACGCATTCACAAAGCTTTTCACGCTACTACACACCCTTTCACATCTTCTACGCTGCAAGGAACACCCAAATAGACTTGCTGCACCTCTCCTTCTCTTTTTTTTGCGTGCAGAAACTCATCAAACGTGACATTCCAAACAGTGACACGTGAGCATCATACATCACTCAGGAACAACCGAGAGGTGGATCTTGTGACGGCTGCATCTTCTGTGCCCACTGGGAGACCATCAGCGTTCGCGAACTATGGCGATCGAAATGAAGAAGATCGCAAATCTCCTCGCGGCCTGAATTTACAACGTCGAGCGTTGTCGAATATGCGTCGTCTCTCTGTGACGTGATCTGCCTTCAATCTCGATTGTGTTTGGCCTGCATCAATACCAACTTCGACGACACGAGTGTAATACGGAAGAAAGAACTGAACAATCGAGTAAATGCCACCCCCTGAACCCCAATACACCGCAAGGATAACGATGTGGACTTGGTTGTACGGGTGATCTAGTGAGGGCTCTGTTCGAATGAAGCACGGATAGCTCTCTTGAACGCAAATGACCGACAATAAACGCCAAAAAAGAGGCCATCAAGTGCGCGAACGGGCAACTCAAGGGTGCCGCATAACTCCGAGTGGCCGGAATCGAACCAGCGACCATTTGATTTCCGAGCACACTGATACACAGCCTACAACACTACAGTCAATCGCTCTACCAACTGAGCTACACTCGGTTCAACACATGCGACACCCCAGACGCATTCACAAAGCTTTTCACGCTACTACACACCCTTTCACATCTTCTACGCTGCGAGGAACACCCTAATAGACTTGCCGCACCTCTCCTTCTCTTTTTTTTGCGTGCAGAAACTCATCAAACGTGACATTCCAAACAGTGACACGTGAACATCATACCTTACTCAGGAACAGCCGAGAGATGGATCCTGTGACGGCTGCATCTTCTGTGCCCACTGGGAGACCATCAGCGTACGCGAACTATGGCGATCGAAATGAAGAAGATCGCAAATCTCCTCGCGGCCTGAATTTACAACGTCGAGCCTTGTCGAATATGCGTCGTCTCTCTGTGACGTGATCTGCCTTCAATCTCGATTGTGTTTGTCCTGCGTCAATACCAACTTCGACGACACGAGTGTAATACGGAAGAGAGCACTGAACAATCGAGTTAATGCCCCCCTGAACCCCAATACGCCGCAAGGATAACGATGTGGACTTGATTGTACGGGTCATCTAGTGAGGGCTCTGTTCAAATGAAGCACGGATAGCTCTCTTGAACGCAAATGACCGACAATAAACGCCAAAAAAGAGGCCATCAAGTGCGCGAACGGGCAACTCAAGGGTGCCGCATAACTCCGAGTGGCCGGAATCGAACCAGCGACCATTTGATTTCCGACAATACTGAAACACAGTATACAACACTACAGTCAATCGCTCTACCAACTGAGCTACACTCGGTTCAACACATGCGACACCCCAGACGCATTCACAAAGCTTTTCACGCTACTACACACCCTTTCACATCTTCTACGCTGCAAGGAACACCCAAATAGACTTGCTGCACCTCTCCTTCACTTTTTTTCGCGTGCAGAAACTCATCAAACGTGACATTCCAAACAGTGACACGTGAGCATCATACATCACTCAGGAACAGCCGAGAGGTGGATCTTGTGACGGCTGCATCTTCTGTGCCCACTGGGAGACCATCAGCGTACGCGAACTATGGCGATCGAAATGAAGAAGATCGCAAATCTCCTCGCGGCCTGAATTTACAACGTCGAGCGTTGTCGAATATGCGTCGTCTCTCTGTGACGTGATCTGCCTTCAATCTCGATTGTGTTTGGCCTGCGTCAATAGCAACTTCGACGACACGAGTGTAATACGGAAGAGAGCACTGAACAATCGAGTAAATGCCCCCCCCTGAACTTCAATACACCGCAAGGATAACGATGTGGACTTGGTTGTACGGGTGATCTAGTGAGGGCTCTGTTCGAATGAAGCACGGATAGCTCTCTTGAACGCAAATGACCGACAACAAACGCCAAAAAAGAGGCCATCAAGTGCGCGAACGGGCAACTCAAGGGTGCCACATAACTCCGAGTGGCCAGAATCGAACCAGCGACCAATTGATTTCCGACAATACTGAAACACAGTATACAACACTACAGTCAATCGCTCTACCAACTGAGCTACACTCGGTTCAACACATGCGACACCCCAGACGCATTCACAAAGCTTTTCACGCTAACACCCTTTCACATCTTCTACGCTGCAAGGAACACCCAAATAGACTTGCTGCACCTCTCCTTCACTTTTTTTTGCGTGCAGAAACTCATCAAACGTGACATTCTAAACAGTGACACGTGAACATCATACATCACTCAGGAACAGCCGAGAGGTGGATCCTGTGACGGCTGCATCTTCTGTGCCCACTGGGAGACCATCAGCGTACGCGAACTATGGCGATCGAAATGAAGAAGATCGCAAATCTCCTCGCGGCCTGAATTTACAACGTCGAGCGTTGTCGAATATGCGTCGTCTCTCTGTGACGTGATCTGCCTTCAATCTCGATTGTGTTTGGCCTGCGTCAATACCAACTTCGACGACACGAGTGTAATACGGAAGAGAGCACTGAACAATCGAGTAAATGCCCCCCCTGAACTTCAATACACCGCAAGGATAACGATGTGGACTTGGTTGTACGGGTGATCTAGTGAGGGCTCTGTTCAAATGAAGCACGGATAGCTCTCTTGAACGCAAATGACCGACAACAAACGCCAAAAAAGAGGCCATCAAGTGCGCGAACGGGCAACTCAAGGGTGCCACATAACTCCGAGTGGCCGGAATCGAACCAGCGACCAATTGATTTCCGACAATACTGAAACACAGTATACAACACTACAGTCAATCGCTCTACCAACTGAGCTACACTCGGTTCAACACATGCGACACCCCAGACGCATTCACAAAGCTTTTCACGCTACTACACACCCTTTCACATCTTCTACGCTGCAAGGAACACCCAAATAGACTTGCTGCACCTCTCCTTCACTTTTTTTGCGTGCAGAAACTCATCAAACGTGACATTCTAAACAGTGACACGTGAGCATCATACATCACTCAGGAACAGCCGAGAGGTGGATCTTGTGACGGCTGCATCTTCTGTGCCCACTGGGAGACCATCAGCGTACGCGAACTATGGCGATCGAAATGAAGAAGATCGCAAATCTCCTCGCGGCCTGAATTTACAACGTCGAGCGTTGTCGAATATGCGTCGTCTCTCTGTGACGTGATCTGCCTTCAATCTCGATTGTGTTTGGCCTGCATCAATACCAACTTCGACGACACGAGTGTACTACGAAAGAGAGCACTGAACAATCGAGTAAATGCCCCCCCTGAACCCCAATACACCGCAAGGATAAGATGTGGACTTGGTTGTCCGGGTGGTCTAGTGAGGGCTCTGTTCGAATGAAGCACGGATAGCTCTCTTGAACGCAAATGACCGACAACAAACGCCAAAAAAGAGGCCATCAAGTGCGCGAACGGGCAACTCAAGGGTGCCACATAACTCCGAGTGGCCGGAATCGAACCAGCGACCAATTGATTTCCGACAATACTGAAACACAGTATACAACACTACAGTCAATCGCTCTACCAACTGAGCTACACTCGGTTCAACACATGCGACACCCCAGACGCATTCACAAAGCTTTTCACGCTACTACACACCCTTTCACATCTTCTACGCTGCAAGGAACACCCAAATAGACTTGCTGCACCTCTCCTTCACTTTTTTTCGCGTGCAGAAACTCATCAAACGTGACATTCTAAACAGTGACACGTGAGCATCATACATCACTCAGGAACAGCCGAGAGGTGGATCTTGTGACGGCTGCATCTTCTGTGCCCACTGGGAGACCATCAGCGTACGCGAACTATGGCGATCGAAATGAAGAAGATCGCAAATCTCCTCGCGGCCTGAATTTACAACGTCGAGCGTTGTCGAATATGCGTCGTCTCTCTGTGACGTGATCTGCCTTCAATCTCGATTGTGTTTGGCCTGCGTCAATACCAACTTCGACGACACGAGTGTAATACGGAAGAGAGCACTGAACAATCGAGTTAATGCCCCCCCTGAACCAATACACCGCAAGGATAACGATGTGGACTTGGTTGTATGGGTGATCTAGTGAGGGCTCTGTTCAAATGAAGCACGGATAGCTCTCTTGAACGCAAATGACCGACAACAAACGCCAAAAAAGAGGCCATCAAGTGCGCGAACGGGCAACTCAAGGGTGCCACATAACTCCGAGTGGCCGGATAGAACCAGCGATTAATTGATTTCCAAGCACACTGATACACAGCCTACAACACTACAGTCAATCGCTCTACCAACTGAGCTACACTCGGTTCAACACATGCGACACCCCAGACGCATTCACAAAGCTTTTCACGCTGCTACACACCCTTTCACATCTTCTACGCTGCAAGGAACACCCAAATAGACTTGCTGCACCTCTCCTTCACTTTTTTTGCGTGCAGAAACTCATCAAACGTGACATTCTAAACAGTGACACGTGAGCATCATACATCACTCAGGAACAGCCGAGAGGTGGATCTTGTGACGGCTGCATCTTCTGTGCCCACTGGGAGACCATCAGCGTACGCGAACTATGGCGATCGAAATGAAGAAGATCGCAAATCTCCTCGCGGCCTGAATTTACAACGTCGAGCGTTGTCGAATATGCGTCGTCTCTCTGTGACGTGATCTGCCTTCAATCTCGATTGTGTTTGGCCTGCATCAATACCAACTTCGACGACACGAGTGTACTACGAAAGAGAGCACTGAACAATCGAGTAAATGCCCCCCCTGAACCCCAATACACCGCAAGGATAAGATGTGGACTTGGTTGTCCGGGTGGTCTAGTGAGGGCTCTGTTCAAATGAAGCACGGATAGCTCTCTTGAACGCAAATGACCGACAACAAACGCCAAAAAAGAGGCCATCAAGTGCGCGAACGGGCAACTCAAGGGTGCCACATAACTCCGAGTGGCCGGAATCGAACCAGCGACCAATTGATTTCCGACAATACTGAAACACAGTATACAACACTACAGTCAATCGCTCTACCAACTGAGCTACACTCGGTTCGACACATGCGACACCCCAGACGCATTCACAAAGCTTTTCACGCTACTACACACCCTTTCACATCTTCTACGCTGCGAGGAACACCCAAATAGACTTGCTGCACCTCTCCTTCACTTTTTTCGTGTGCAGAAACTCATCAAACGTGACATTCTAAACAGTGACACGTGAGCATCATACATCACTCAGGAACAGCCGAGAGATGGATCTTGTGACGGCTGCATCTTCTGTGCCCACTGGGAGACCATCAGCGTACGCGAACTATGGCGATCGAAATGAAGAAGATCGCAAATCTCCTCGCGGCCTGAATTTACAACGTCGAGCGTTGTCGAATATGCGTCGTCTCTCTGTGACGTGATCTGCCTTCAATCTCGATTGTGTTTGGCCTGCGTCAATACCAACTTCGACGACACGAGTGTAATACGGAAGAGAGAACTGAACAATCGAGTAAATGCCCCCCCTGAACCCCAATACACCGCAAGGATAACGATGTGGACTTGGTTGTACAGGTGGTCTAGCGAGGGCTCTGTTCAAATGAAGCACGGATAGCTCTCTTGAACGCAAATGACCGACAACAAACGCCAAAAAAGAGGCCATCAAGTGCGCGAACGGGCAACTCAAGGGTGCCACATAACTCCGAGTGGCCGGAATCGAACCAGCGACCAATTGATTTCCGACAATACTGAAACACAGTATACAACACTACAGTCAATCGCTCTACCAACTGAGCTACACTCGGTTCAACACATGCGACACCCCAGACGCATTCACAAAGCTTTTCACGCTACTACACACCCTTTCACATCTTCTACGCTGCAAGGAACACCCAAATAGACTTGCTGCACCTCTCCTTCACTTTTTTTGCGTGCAGAAACTCATCAAACGTGACATTCTAAACAGTGACACGTGAGCATCATACATTACTCAGGAACAGCCGAGAGGTGGATCTTGTGACGGCTGCATCTTCTGTGCCCACTGGGAGACCATCAGCGTACGCGAACTATGGCGATCGAAATGAAGAAGATCGCAAATCTCCTCGCGGCCTGAATTTACAACGTCGAGCGTTGTCGAATATGCGTCGTCTCTCTGTGACGTGATCTGCCTTCAATCTCGATTGTGTTTGGCCTGCATCAATACCAACTTCGACGACACGAGTGTAATACGGAAGAAAGAACTGAACAATCGAGTAAATGCCCCCCCCTGAACCCCAATGCACCGCAAGGATAACGATGTGGACTTGGTTGTACGGGTGGTCTAGCGAGGGCTCTGTTCAAATGAAGCACGGATAGCTCTCTTGAACGCAAATGACCGACAACAAACGCCAAAAAAGAGGCCATCAAGTGCGCGAACGGGCAACTCAAGGGTGCCACATAACTCCGAGTGGCCGGAATCGAACCAGCGACCAATTGATTTCCGACAATACTGAAACACAGTATACAACACTACAGTCAATCGCTCTACCAACTGAGCTACACTCGGTTCAACACATGCGACACCCCAGACGCATTCACAAATCTTTTCACGCTGCTACACACCCTTTCACATCTTCTACACTGCAAGGAACACCCAAATAGACTTGCTGCACCTCTCCTTCACTTTTTTTGCGTGCAGAAACTCATCAAACGTGACATTCTAAACAGTGACACGTGAGCATCATACATTACTCAGGAACAGCCGAGAGGTGGATCTTGTGACGGCTGCATCTTCTGTGCCCACTGGGAGACCATCAGCGTACGCGAACTATGGCGATCGAAATGAAGAAGATCGCAAATCTCCTCGCGGCCTGAATTTACAACGTCGAGCGTTGTCGAATATGCGTCGTCTCTCTGTGACGTGATCTGCCTTCAATCTCGATTGTGTTTGGCCTGCATCAATACCAACTTCGACGACACGAGTGTAATACGGAAGAAAGAACTGAACAATCGAGTAAATGCCCCCCCCTGAACCCCAATGCACCGCAAGGATAACGATGTGGACTTGGTTGTACAGGTGGTCTAGCGAGGGCTCTGTTCAAATGAAGCACGGATAGCTCTCTTGAACGCAAATGACCGACAACAAACGCCAAAAAAGAGGCCATCAAGTGCGCGAACGGGCAACTCAAGGGTGCCACATAACTCCGAGTGGCCGGAATCGAACCAGCGACCAATTGATTTCCGACAATACTGAAACACAGTATACAACACTACAGTCAATCGCTCTACCAACTGAGCTACACTCGGTTCAACACATGCGACACCCCAGACGCATTCACAATCTTTTCACGCTGCTACACACCCTTTCACATCTTCTACACTGCAAGGAACACCCAAATAGACTTGCTGCACCTCTCCTTCACTTTTTTCGGGTGCAGAAACTCATCAAACGTGACATTCTAAACAGTGACACGTGAGCATCATACATTACTCAGGAACAGCCGAGAGGTGGATCTTGTGACGGCTGCATCTTCTGTGCCCACTGGGAGACCATCAGCGTACGCGAACTATGGCGATCGAAATGAAGAAGATCGCAAATCTCCTCGCGGCCTGAATTTACAACGTCGAGCGTTGTCGAATATGCGTCGTCTCTCTGTGACGTGATCTGCCTTCAATCTCGATTGTGTTTGGCCTGCATCAATACCAACTTCGACGACACGAGTGTAATACGGAAGAGAGAACTGAACAATCGAGTAAATGCCCCCCCTGAACCCCAATGCACCGCAAGGATAACGATGTGGACTTGGTTGTACAGGTGGTCTAGCGAGGGCTCTGTTCAAATGAAGCACGGATAGCCCTCCTGAACGCAAATGACCGACAACAAACGCCAAAAAGGAGACCATCAAGTGCGCGAACGGGCAACTCAAGGGTGCCACATAACTCCGAGTGGCCGGAATCGAACCAGCGACCAATTGATTTCCGAGCACACTGACACACAGCCTACAACACTACAGTCAATCGCTCTACCAACTGAGCTACACTCGGTTCAACACATGCGACACCCCAGACGCATTCACAATCTTTTCACGCTGCTACACACCCTTTCACATCTTCTACACTGCAAGGAACACCCAAATAGACTTGCTGCACCTCTCCTTCACTTTTTTTGCGTGCAGAAACTCATCAAACGTGACATTCTAAACAGTGACACGTGAGCATCATACATTACTCAGGAACAGCCGAGAGGTGGATCTTGTGACGGCTGCATCTTCTGTGCCCACTGGGAGACCATCAGCGTACGCGAACTATGGCGATCGAAATGAAGAAGATCGCAAATCTCCTCGCGGCCTGAATTTACAACGTCGAGCGTTGTCGAATATGCGTCGTCTCTCTGTGACGTGATCTGCCTTCAATCTCGATTGTGTTTGGCCTGCATCAATACCAACTTCGACGACACGAGTGTAATACGGAAGAAAGAACTGAACAATCGAGTAAATGCCCCCCCCTGAACCCCAATGCACCGCAAGGATAACGATGTGGACTTGGTTGTACAGGTGGTCTAGCGAGGGCTCTGTTCAAATGAAGCACGGATAGCTCTCTTGAACGCAAATGACCGACAACAAACGCCAAAAAAGAGGCCATCAAGTGCGCGAACGGGCAACTCAAGGGTGCCACATAACTCCGAGTGGCCGGAATCGAACCAGCGACCAATTGATTTCCGACAATACTGAAACACAGTATACAACACTACAGTCAATCGCTCTACCAACTGAGCTACACTCGGTTCAACACATGCGACACCCCAGACGCATTCACAAATCTTTTCACGCTGCTACACACCCTTTCACATCTTCTACACTGCAAGGAACACCCAAATAGACTTGCTGCACCTCTCCTTCACTTTTTTTCGCGTGCAGAAACTCATCAAACGTGACATTCTAAACAGTGACACGTGAGCATCATACATTACTCAGGAACAGCCGAGAGGTGGATCTTGTGACGGCTGCATCTTCTGTGCCCACTGGGAGACCATCAGCGTACGCGAACTATGGCGATCGAAATGAAGAAGATCGCAAATCTCCTCGCGGCCTGAATTTACAACGTCGAGCGTTGTCGAATATGCGTCGTCTCTCTGTGACGTGATCTGCCTTCAATCTCGATTGTGTTTGGCCTGCATCAATACCAACTTCGACGACACGAGTGTAATACGGAAGAAAGAACTGAACAATCGAGTAAATGCCCCCCCCTGAACCCCAATGCACCGCAAGGATAACGATGTGGACTTGGTTGTACAGGTGGTCTAGCGAGGGCTCTGTTCAAATGAAGCACGGATAGCTCTCTTGAACGCAAATGACCGACAACAAACGCCAAAAAAGAGGCCATCAAGTGCGCGAACGGGCAACTCAAGGGTGCCACATAACTCCGAGTGGCCGGAATCGAACCAGCGACCAATTGATTTCCGACAATACTGAAACACAGTATACAACACTACAGTCAATCGCTCTACCAACTGAGCTACACTCGGTTCAACACATGCGACACCCCAGACGCATTCACAATCTTTTCACGCTGCTACACACCCTTTCACATCTTCTACACTGCAAGGAACACCCAAATAGACTTGCTGCACCTCTCCTTCACTTTTTTTGCGTGCAGAAACTCATCAAACGTGACATTCTAAACAGTGACACGTGAGCATCATACATTACTCAGGAACAGCCGAGAGGTGGATCTTGTGACGGCTGCATCTTCTGTGCCCACTGGGAGACCATCAGCGTACGCGAACTATGGCGATCGAAATGAAGAAGATCGCAAATCTCCTCGCGGCCTGAATTTACAACGTCGAGCGTTGTCGAATATGCGTCGTCTCTCTGTGACGTGATCTGCCTTCAATCTCGATTGTGTTTGGCCTGCATCAATACCAACTTCGACGACACGAGTGTAATACGGAAGAAAGAACTGAACAATCGAGTAAATGCCCCCCCCTGAACCCCAATGCACCGCAAGGATAACGATGTGGACTTGGTTGTACAGGTGGTCTAGCGAGGGCTCTGTTCAAATGAAGCACGGATAGCTCTCTTGAACGCAAATGACCGACAACAAACGCCAAAAAAGAGGCCATCAAGTGCGCGAACGGGCAACTCAAGGGTGCCACATAACTCCGAGTGGCCGGAATCGAACCAGCGACCAATTGATTTCCGACAATACTGAAACACAGTATACAACACTACAGTCAATCGCTCTACCAACTGAGCTACACTCGGTTCAACACATGCGACACCCCAGACGCATTCACAAATCTTTTCACGCTGCTACACACCCTTTCACATCTTCTACACTGCAAGGAACACCCAAATAGACTTGCTGCACCTCTCCTTCACTTTTTTTGCGTGCAGAAACTCATCAAACGTGACATTCTAAACAGTGACACGTGAGCATCATACATTACTCAGGAACAGCCGAGAGGTGGATCTTGTGGCGGCTGCATCTTCTGTGCCCACTGGGAGACCATCAGCGTACGCGAACTATGGCGATCGAAATGAAGAAGATCGCAAATCTCCTCGCGGCCTGAATTTACAACGTCGAGCGTTGTCGAATATGCGTCGTCTCTCTGTGACGTGATCTGCCTTCAATCTCGATTGTGTTTGGCCTGCATCAATACCAACTTCGACGACACGAGTGTAATACGGAAGAGAGAACTGAACAATCGAGTAAATGCCCCCCCTGAACCCCAATGCACCGCAAGGATAACGATGTGGACTTGGTTGTACAGGTGGTCTAGCGAGGGCTCTGTTCAAATGAAGCACGGATAGCTCTCTTGAACGCAAATGACCGACAACAAACGCCAAAAAAGAGGCCATCAAGTGCGCGAACGGGCAACTCAAGGGTGCCACATAACTCCGAGTGGCCGGAATCGAACCAGCGACCAATTGATTTCCGACAATACTGAAACACAGTATACAACACTACAGTCAATCGCTCTACCAACTGAGCTACACTCGGTTCAACACATGCGACACCCCAGACGCATTCACAAATCTTTTCACGCTGCTACACACCCTTTCACATCTTCTACACTGCAAGGAACACCCAAATAGACTTGCTGCACCTCTCCTTCACTTTTTTTCGCGTGCAGAAACTCATCAAACGTGACATTCTAAACAGTGACACGTGAGCATCATACATTACTCAGGAACAGCCGAGAGGTGGATCTTGTGACGGCTGCATCTTCTGTGCCCACTGGGAGACCATCAGCGTACGCGAACTATGGCGATCGAAATGAAGAAGATCGCAAATCTCCTCGCGGCCTGAATTTACAACGTCGAGCGTTGTCGAATATGCGTCGTCTCTCTGTGACGTGATCTGCCTTCAATCTCGATTGTGTTTGGCCTGCATCAATACCAACTTCGACGACACGAGTGTAATACGGAAGAAAGAACTGAACAATCGAGTAAATGCCCCCCCCTGAACCCCAATGCACCGCAAGGATAACGATGTGGACTTGGTTGTACGGGTGGTCTAGCGAGGGCTCTGTTCAAATGAAGCACGGATAGCTCTCTTGAACGCAAATGACCGACAACAAACGCCAAAAAAGAGGCCATCAAGTGCGCGAACGGGCAACTCAAGGGTGCCACATAACTCCGAGTGGCCGGAATCGAACCAGCGACCAATTGATTTCCGACAATACTGAAACACAGTATACAACACTACAGTCAATCGCTCTACCAACTGAGCTACACTCGGTTCAACACATGCGACACCCCAGACGCATTCACAAATCTTTTCACGCTGCTACACACCCTTTCACATCTTCTACACTGCAAGGAACACCCAAATAGACTTGCTGCACCTCTCCTTCACTTTTTTTGCGTGCAGAAACTCATCAAACGTGACATTCTAAACAGTGACACGTGAGCATCATACATTACTCAGGAACAGCCGAGAGGTGGATCTTGTGACGGCTGCATCTTCTGTGCCCACTGGGAGACCATCAGCGTACGCGAACTATGGCGATCGAAATGAAGAAGATCGCAAATCTCCTCGCGGCCTGAATTTACAACGTCGAGCGTTGTCGAATATGCGTCGTCTCTCTGTGACGTGATCTGCCTTCAATCTCGATTGTGTTTGGCCTGCATCAATACCAACTTCGACGACACGAGTGTAATACGGAAGAGAGAACTGAACAATCGAGTAAATGCCCCCCCTGAACCCCAATGCACCGCAAGGATAACGATGTGGACTTGGTTGTACAGGTGGTCTAGCGAGGGCTCTGTTCAAATGAAGCACGGATAGCTCTCTTGAACGCAAATGACCGACAACAAACGCCAAAAAAGAGGCCATCAAGTGCGCGAACGGGCAACTCAAGGGTGCCACATAACTCCGAGTGGCCGGAATCGAACCAGCGACCAATTGATTTCCGACAATACTGAAACACAGTATACAACACTACAGTCAATCGCTCTACCAACTGAGCTACACTCGGTTCAACACATGCGACACCCCAGACGCATTCACAATCTTTTCACGCTGCTACACACCCTTTCACATCTTCTACACTGCAAGGAACACCCAAATAGACTTGCTGCACCTCTCCTTCACTTTTTTTGCGTGCAGAAACTCATCAAACGTGACATTCTAAACAGTGACACGTGAGCATCATACATTACTCAGGAACAGCCGAGAGGTGGATCTTGTGACGGCTGCATCTTCTGTGCCCACTGGGAGACCATCAGCGTACGCGAACTATGGCGATCGAAATGAAGAAGATCGCAAATCTCCTCGCGGCCTGAATTTACAACGTCGAGCGTTGTCGAATATGCGTCGTCTCTCTGTGACGTGATCTGCCTTCAATCTCGATTGTGTTTGGCCTGCATCAATACCAACTTCGACGACACGAGTGTAATACGGAAGAGAGAACTGAACAATCGAGTAAATGCCCCCCCTGAACCCCAATGCACCGCAAGGATAACGATGTGGACTTGGTTGTACAGGTGGTCTAGCGAGGGCTCTGTTCAAATGAAGCACGGATAGCTCTCTTGAACGCAAATGACCGACAACAAACGCCAAAAAAGAGGCCATCAAGTGCGCGAACGGGCAACTCAAGGGTGCCGCATAACTCCGAGTGGCCGGAATCGAACCAGCGACCAATTGATTTCCGAGCACACTGATACACAGCCTACAACACTACAGTCAATCGCTCTACCAACTGAGCTACACTCGGTTCAACACATGCGACACCCCAGACGCATTCACAATCTTTTCACGCTGCTACACACCCTTTCACATCTTCTACACTGCAAGGAACAGCCAAATAGACTTGCTGCACCTCTCCTTCACTTTTTTTGCGTGCAGAAACTCATCAAACGTGACATTCTAAACAGTGACACGTGAGCATCATACATTACTCAGGAACAGCCGAGAGGTGGATCTTGTGGCGGCTGCATCTTCTGTGCCCACTGGGAGACCATCAGCGTACGCGAACTATGGCGATCGAAATGAAGAAGATCGCAAATCTCCTCGCGGCCTGAATTTACAACGTCGAGCGTCGTCGAATATGCGTCGTCTCTCTGTGACGTGATCTGCCTTCAATCTCGATTGTGTTTGGCCTGCATCAATACCAACTTCGACGACACGAGTGTAATACGGAAGAAAGAACTGAACAATCGAGTAAATGCCCCCCCTGAACCCCAATGCACCGCAAGGATAACGATGTGGACTTGGTTGTACAGGTGGTCTAGCGAGGGCTCTGTTCAAATGAAGCACGGATAGCTCTCTTGAACGCAAATGACCGACAACAAACGCCAAAAAAGAGGCCATCAAGTGCGCGAACGGGCAACTCAAGGGTGCCACATAACTCCGAGTGGCCGGAATCGAACCAGCGACCAATTGATTTCCGACAATACTGAAACACAGTATACAACACTACAGTCAATCGCTCTACCAACTGAGCTACACTCGGTTTGACACATGCGACACCCCAGACGCATTCACAAAGCTTTTCACGCTACTACACACCCTTTCACATCTTCTACACTGCAAGGAACACCCAAATAGACTTGCTGCACCTCTTCTTCACTTTTTTTGCGTGCAGAAACTCATCAAACGTGACATTCTAAACAGTGACACGTGAACATCATACATCACTCAGGAACAGCCGAGAGATGGATCTTGTGACGGCTTTATCCTCCCTGCTCGGGAGACTGTGGTGGAGTGGCGATCGCTCATGTTATGAGTCGATCTTTACTCTCCACTGGCGCCCGGAAGACCGACTAACGGAGGGGGTACTCTGACTCAGTGTGTATTGCCTTCCTCACCTTGTGTACCCGTCGGTAAAGCGGGTTGCACTCTTCCAGGCGAGCTCGTGTCGAAGGAAAACTTGAACGTATTGGGGATAGGGTTGTGATCGTGCGGAAATCTTCATGCGAGCACAGGGTACTTGTGGGTAATGACATAAGCTACCCTGACCTCAACGAGATCGCCTTGTCCACTATGTGGTTGCTTGATTCGCGAGCCTTCTGACCACTTGAGCCGTCTCGCGATCTTGCGCCTTGCCTTTACGTTTTCTGCTGCATCCGATCGCAGTTAATGTTGCTTGAGAGTTCTTGAACACACCTGGCCAAAACAATCCAGGTGTGATACTTGCGTAGACGTGTAGCGCGACTCTTTATTCGACGGGGGCCAAAGATCCTACCCGGAAGAGATAAAGTGTGCCTTGTGAAGTAATTTGAACTCTGTTCAATGTCAACCAACCAGTTTAAACCCTACTCCTATGCCTATCCGACTATCCTAACCAGATACCACGCGTCGCCTTTCCAGGAAGATCACCCCCTCGCATTTGTGTGGTCCACACCCAGTATATCAGCAGTTGTATCTTCTTGTGGCCCACCCAAGATATCCCCACGATCCTGCTAGCGGATCGTGATCCTACTAGAGGATCGTGATCCTACTAGCGGATCGTGATCCTACCAGTGGATCGTGATCCTACCGGTAAATCGTGATCCTAATAGCGGATCGTGATCCTACTAGCGGATCGTGATCCTACCAGTGGATCGTGATCCTACTAGCGGATCGTGATCCTACCAGTGGATCGTGATCCTACTAGCGGATCGTGATCCTACTAGCGGATCGTGATCCTACTAGTGGATCGTGATCCTACTAGCGGATCGTGATCCTACTAGTGGATCGTGATCCTACTAGTGGATCGTGATCCTACTAGCAGATCGTGATACTACTAGCGGATCGTGGTCTTACTAGTGGATCTTGATCCTACTAGTGGATCGTGATCATACTAGCGGATCGTGATCCTACCAGTGGATCGTGATCCTACTAGTGGATCGTGATCCTACTAGCGGATCGTGATCCTACTAGTGGATCGTGATCATACTAGCGGATCGTGATCCTACCAGTGGATCGTGATCCTACTAGTGGATCGTGATCCTACTAGCAGATCGTGATACTACTAGCGGATCGTGATCTTACTAGTGGATCGTGATCCTACTAGTGGATCGTGATACTACTAGAGGATCGTGATCCTACCAGTGGATCGTGATCCTACTAGTGGATCGTGATCTTACTAGCGGATCGTGATCCTACTAGTGGATCGTGATCCTACCAATGGATCGTGATCCTACTAGCAGATCGTGATACTACTAGCGGATCGTGGTCTTACTAGTGGATCGTGATCCTACTAGTGGATCGTGATCATACTAGCGGATCGTGATCCTACCAGTGGATCGTGATCCTACTAGTGGATCGTGATCCTACTAACATATCGTGGTACTACTAGCGGATCGCATCTGAGATCGGACTTGCGATCCTGGGTTAGTATCGCGGCCTTCCAGTGATACCGAGAATCTTGTCATGCCATTACTTGCGACGGATTGCATAATCAAAACGGGTGTGACCATCCTATGTCCTCATACCAGGCTGTACGATCCTGTCCAATTGGGGTTTGGGTACGCTATTGCCAGCTACCCGTCCCGGCCTGTATCCACCAATCATAGCATTCTTGGCTTAATTGAAGCGTACGACCCGTGCGATCGCCGATCCTAGTCCCAATAGAATTTCCTTGCGACCGCTTTGCCACAACCGTCCCCTGCACCGTCAGCAATTATACGGTGTTGATCTAGCTGTGCAATCTTGTGTGCGTTATTCCTTTTCACGCACTTTCGCATCTTCTGACACAATGTCCGATCCAGCCCACCCGGATCAGGTAACTCCTCCTGCTTCAGGATCGGGGCCCCTCGGATCGCTCTCTGGTATACCAACTTCGCATTTCGGAACCTCGACGCCTACCAGTCCTGCGATCTCAGACGTCTCCACCGTGCCGGTGACCGCGTGTGATCGCTCGGCTGTGGTGACGTCGGCCCAGATGGAGGAAAGCTCTGGTTGGTTTTCCATCTCGATCCCTCTGTCGCGATCCTCTTCGATCTTCGCTCCGGACAGGACCTCAGCCGGCCAAAACGTCCCAACTCCGGATCCGAGTGAGCCCATCTTGCTCCCAAGTACTCGAATCGAAGCCTCGGGTTCGGTCGATCAAGCCGCGCTTAACGCAGCGATTGATTTGCTTTACCTTCGCCTGAACCTCCAACAGACTGTCGTGGATCGGAACCATAGCATGGAGGCTGCTTTGGAGCAGCAGATGATCCAGAATCGCCAGCTGAATGAGGACCTTCAGGAGCTCCGCACCTCCGCGTCCCCTTTCGTTTATTCGTCCAATTGAAGTACGACCGCTTGCGCGTTCGCTATAAAGACGAGATCAAGCGGTCCGAAGCCTTTTGGGAGGCTTTGGCCGACCGGGTCGACCAGACCGTCTTGATCAAACACTTAGAATCTGAAATTCTCCGGACTGTGCGAGCACGTCATGCCGCACAGGAGAAAGCCGATCGTGAGGTAGCCGGGGTACGCAAGCAGATGGACGAGCCGGGAGAATGGTTGGTGGCTGAATGCGACAAGTTGTCCCACAGCCTGGACAAGGCCAACAGCAAGAATTCGAAGTACAAAAAAACCGGCCTCCAACTTTAAAAGAAGCTGCGTTGTGCACTCAAACAATTAGCGAAGCTCCAGGCCGACCAGGAAAAGCTGTGTCGCGCGCTCAAGCAGGTATCGGGGCTTCAGGCCGAACTGGGCGAGGCGCAGGATTCTCTATCCGCTAGATCCGCTAGGTGTGATCAATTGCGTCGCATCGTATCGGATCGTGACGTTACTTTGGACCAGATGCGAGTTCAGCTTGCGGACGTGGCTTCCGAACGTGATCGCGCAATCCGAGATCAGACGACCCTTCGGGATCGCATGGCGTCGCTGGTGTCTGGGGATACTTCAGCCACACCTACGAAGGTGGGATCGTCTAACCACACGCCGTTCCCGTGACTCCTCAGCCGATGTCGAACGTTTCAGGATCCAGTCGCAAGCGATCTCGCGATTCCCTACCATCGTCAACTTTGCCGCCTTCAAAGAAAGTGACTCGATCCGCTGCTTCCAACGCTGAGACGATCTCAGCTTGCGATCCCAAGGTGGCACGATCCGCTGCGTCCAAAGCCAAGCCGTCCCTAGTTTGCAACCCCAAGGTGGCACGATCCGCTACTGCTAAAGCCAAGCCGTCCCCAGTTTGTGACCCCAAGCCTTCTTCCGCTCCCAAGGAAACCCGCGATCCTAAGGGTCGTCGCGATCTCAAGAATTGCCATGATCCAGCGAAGCCTGCAGCTACCTCGAAACTGGGCAAGCAGAAGCGCCGCGGTTCGAGATCAACCTCGTCTGAGGGGGAGATTACATCGGCAGGTGAGGATGAGACTTTAGCGGCTTTATCTGGTTCGCGATCCTCCAGTCTTCGTCGAGTATCCAATCCGGCGGCACAACCTTCGGCTGGGCCTTCTCCAGATCCGATTGTCATAGACACGCCGAGCCCTTCGCGCGATCCTCCACCTCCGATTGATCCTGTTATTCCTACCGTGACCAAGGTATCTCGCGCAGACCTTTTCAGAGAAGCGTCCAGCGACTCGGATGGTGCCATCAGCCTCTCTGATTCGCCTCGTGATCACGTCAATCCGATGTTATCCCTGGCGGATTATAATAGATTGCCTCCTACCAAGGTCTCTCGCAACCAGTGGATCTCCGGTTATCGAGATCGCGTACCGCGATCGTTCACTCAGGTTTATCCCTGGTCGGCACGCAAGGTCAATTAGACGGGTGTGGTAAAGTCGATCAAGATCGGTGTCGTAAAACCTCAAACGTTTGCCTAAGTACGGAGTGGGGACCGGCGGAATGATCGTGGGACGAGGTCCAATCATATGGATGGCACCGTTGGGATCATTCACGGAAATATCTCATCCGGTCAGATCGGGTCAGAACGGTTCAGAACGGCGAAAGGGACCGCAATCAGTGGACCGCGATTGAGGGACCGCAATGGAGGGACCGCGATCAGGGGACTGCGATCAGGGGACCGCGATCAGGGGCCGCGATCAGGGGACTGCGATCAGAAGACCGCGATCAAGGGCCGCGATCAAGGGATCGCGATCTGGCGTGGACCATGCCCTGATGCGATCAGACGGTTGGTGTGTCAGGTCTGTGCCACATGGATACAAGGGGCGATCTGTAGAGGCGACGCATGGCATCTGATTTTCCGAGTTATAGGTGTAAGGTGTGAGGGTCTGATTGGTTAACATACAGCAGAATTCTATTTGCTTCTAAACACATTCGTGTCAATCTTCTCCCGGGTTGGATGTTTTGGCCTCCTGACGTCTGAGAATCTCGACATCAAGGATAGAACGATCACTCCTGGAGCTATTTGGCCAGGAGTGCTAGGACTCTCAACACACCCCTACTGCGATCGGACGCAGCCAACCGTATCGGTTGACGTACAAGATCGCGAGACAGCTCAAGTGGCCAGAAAGGCTCGCGACTCAAGTACAAATTTTGGCACAAGGTGATCAGGGCAGATCACGGCGACTCTAGGAGAGCATCAACCCGGAATACGCGATCGGGTGAGGATTTTCCACCCGATCAGCACCGATCTCTACAACGGTCAAGTTTAGCATCTCGTCGAGTCCACCTGGAAGAGTGCAACCCGCCCTGCCGACGGGTACACAAGGTGAGGAGGAAACAAGTGCAAGTGGAATCGGAGTAACCCCGCCGTTAGTCGGTCGTCTGGGCGCCAGTGGAGAGTCGGGATCGCCTCAAAAAATAAGCGAACCTCACTCCACGACACGAGCGTCGCGGAGTTGGACACTGACTTCCTGTATCGCCACTTATCCCGTCCCAAAGGCTTTATCTTACCGACGGTTGTGACACCCAATTGTCCTCCTCCCGCATCTGAGTGGACATCTCGGCTGGCGTGTTCGACCCAGATTGCGGCCTTATACGCCTAAGAGCCTTGGGAGACAGCCTCACGTCGGATTGCGCCGACCTCCTTCCCTCGTACCGGCTGGTTAGACCAGCTAACCTCTCTATACTTGGAGTTCTAGGATAAAAAACCGACAGGCTTTGTGGGAGTCGGCGCACGCGATCTTCCTTTCCAGTGAATAGCGGGTCAGCGATCCTGAACTAGAACAGTTCTGGAAACAGCGGAGGCAGCGTCGGTCGCGAGCTGGGCCTCGGTGGAAGGCGATCCTTCGATTCATCTTGAAAGGTATGATCGCAGGTCATTGTGACCTGGACATTCTGTTGGATCCCTTTCTGCACTTCCTTTCTTTTTAAAAAGGGTTTCCCTTGGTATCCTCGCCTGGGATACAAACCGAAGGGCATCCCCAATTTGATCGCTACTCTCCCGTTGCTAGATGCCACTGAACCTTGGCGCTACCAATATCTATCCTCTATTGCTGACCACCCCGGATCATCGATCGTACGATTGCCAGGTAAGTTCTTTCCTGCTTGGCAGCTAGGATTTTGATTTAGATAGTTCCATAATTCAAAATTATCTCTCTTGATCCTTCATCTTGTTCTTCATCCTGAGATCAACTTCTTTTCTTTGGCTTTTCAACCGCGATCGGACCCCTTCGATCCGCTATCGCTTCTCATTTATAGCCCCGATCCATCATCTCATACAACCTCCTTGTACATATGACTATCCACCATTTCACTTCCACCTTTCATCATGCGTTAACCGCTCATTGCTTCGATTACCCATTAAGCTTCGGTTTCCTCTTCATTGGAATGCATGACTTCAAACTGGTTTTGGCTCGCACGGTTGCGCTCGAATTTTTGCAACAACGCGCCACAGTTCAGGTCCGCTATCCAGGTCGGATCGTCGTGTTGCTTCCACTGAACCAAAAACTGTCGATGCACTCGGCCATAACGAGTTTTACGTCCTGATCATACACTTATAATTTTCTCCACTTCGTATTCGTCAGCAGCCAACTCGTTTTCCCAACTATCTTCCGGCAACAACGACTCATCGAAATCCATACGATCCTCACAGTTAGTCACTAGCACACTGCCTGGGCGATCGGGAAACTGTACCACTGGCTTTAACTTGTAGACATGCACTACAAGTTAAAGCCAGTGGTACAGTTTCCCGATCGCCCAGGCAGTGTGCTATCGGGAACAATCGGTATGGAGTTCCCGAAATCTCCACCCGAACAGCATGTTTCCCACATAACTCTGCCACTCGGAACGGTCCATGTCACATGTGTGCTAACTTTCGAGCATAGCCGTCTTAGACTTGGTACAAGTAGAGCCAAACTTGCGATCCGCATTTGATATCACGCACTTCATTAATGTCATTGTGTCGATCCGCTCGATCTTGGATTGCGATCTTGAGACGTTCAATTACCACTGCTCTTGCCCTCTGATATTGACGTTGGACATTGTATCGCCACCTTATAGGGTCAGCATCGCGTGTTTTAGTGCTCCCCATCGGTAATGCTGCTTCCAATGTCGATCTTGGATCCCAGCCATGGATCAAATTAGAACGGAGTGTCTCCACGGATCCGATCTTGTGCCGTACTCATAGCGAATGTCAATCTTTCTGCATATTCATCCCAGTCTTTCTGTTCTACGTCCGTGACGTACATCTTAATCGACGAGTCAACGTCTGTACCATACGCTCCGCAGTTCCGTTCGCTTGCGGTCGGTACGCCATGGTCGCACGTTGCTTTTGCCCTGCGATCCGATTAAATGCTCGAAAAAAGTCGGGCATAAATCCAGGCTCCCCATCGTGACGTATAACTTTACTGGCTCCAAATATTCGAAACACACATTCTTCATATCCTTCAGTGATTGTTTGCGCGGTCCTCGACGAACTTGCTCTCGCGATCACATATCCTGAGAAAAGATCCACCCACAGCAGCAGTTCTGTGTTTCCTTTAAATGACCGCGGCAATGATGGGAATTGATCCAACGCGATCACCTGAAATGGGTATGTAGCCTGTATGTTTCCCGGGGATCTGCCGCGGATCGCGAGTAGACCCTTCTCAATTGTACAGTCCACACATTCGCCAACATAACGTTGTATACTTCAACACGATCCTTTCCAGTGAAAATTGGATCTGATCCGCTGATAAGTTCTCGTGATCCCTTGGTGAACACCCTCCAAGCTTTTGTGGTAATGGTGCATAAAATCGTGCTGCCACAATTCCGGTACAACCAGACGAAACATCTCTGCACGATCGTCCGACCCCTTAGCAGATCGGGGGCTGAAGAACAGCAATCCGTTGTCGTCCACTTCGTAGTATGGAGCGATTTAAGCGCATAATTTTTGCATACTCTGCGTTTAACTGGGTCAGTCCGCCCACAAGATATTCCTTCAGGTCGGCGATCCAGCTCTCTTCCTCTTACGCTTGTTTTATCCGCTCGATCCGCATCCGCTGCACTATTTCTTCTTGTAAAACTTCGTGTTGTTGACGCCTTCGCCGCGCGGATCGTGCGATCGCTATCATTTTCACCACGCGATCCGTCCTTTCCGGCAGAAGAAACTCGTACAGCCTGTTGAGTGATATCAAATTTTGCAATTCTTGATCTAAGTTCACAATGACACCTTCCTCTTGCTGCAAAGCTGCACTGGCTAGTCGATCCGCGCTTTGGTTCCACTCCCCCTTCATGTGTAGGAACTCGTGTTTTGGCCAAGTTCGACGTTTCTGCAGTGCTTTGTGACGCAATAACTGTAGCCCGGGCGCTTTACAATCCATCTCTCCCCGCATTTGCCTGATCACTGGGTTCGAGTCACCACATTTTATGACTCGTTCCCTAGTTTGGTTGTCCAGCAGATCGAGACCCAACAACATGCCACGATATTCTGCTGAATTCACCGTCAGATCTGCCGCGTATTCCGAAGCGGCTAAGACGATGGTCCATTCTGGTAGCTTCCACGCGATCGCACTACATGCCCCGCTCTTCCGTTCAGTTTGTGCCGATCCGTTAAAACTGACCACCAACAGGCATTCATCCGTACCTACCGTGGGAGGTAGCAAGATTACCAATTGTTTAGGTTTCTTCCGTGGAGCGATTGCAATCAAAACATCATCTACCTTATCTCGCGGAGTTATACTAGCTGCGAGAGCGCCTAGTATTTCATCCTCTCCTTTGTTACATCTCTTGGCCTCCAGTGTCCAATTCGATAGCAGCGCAGCCCATCTTCCCAGCCTCCCATTGAGGCCAGAAGATTGAACTAGCCAAGCTAATGTCGAATATCGAGTGAGCACCCTGATCTCTCGGAATACAAGCATGGTGTAGCACACTTCCAAGATTCGAAGTAGGGCTAAAACTTCTTTCTCCACCATACCATAATTAACTCCATTAGGCTTCAGTGTGCGACTCATGACTGTCACCGGCCAGTATACGCCGTCATATTCTTGCAATAGAGATGCCGATACTGCCCATTTACTAGCACATACCACGATCAATGGAAGTCGAACTGGATCGAAATTATTGAGGATCGGGGTTGTAGCGATCTTGGCCTTCAGCAAAGTAAATGCAATGGCGGCCCTTTCCCACCGAGATTGCTCATTTGGACCATGCTCACCCCCTTGTAATGTGTTATCGCAACTTCCCGACATCGCATCACGATCTCTCATATGGCTCATCTCGACAAATTCGCCTCTCGTAACTCGTACAAAACAGATGCATATCCTGGAAATTCTTCTATAAAACGACAGTAATTATTCAAGCTACCCAGGAACGATTGCATGGATCGCAAAGCTGTGAGAAAAGGAATGTTGAACAGCAATCCTAGATCTTTAGGATTGGCTTCCAACCCAGCTACAGATACGTGATGACCTAAGTAACTCACCTTACGCCGTCCCCAAATACGCTTGGTCAGACTGATCGAAAAATTCCAATGATCGCATGCTGTCAATAATCTTTCGACCTTGTCGTCAAAGATGTCCATGACGTAGCCGAGATCAATATATCGTCAATGTAAGATCGCCTACTCAGCACTGACGGCGCTTGATCCGTTCCGGCTCTCCCTCAGTAAACACATCAGTTAACTTAGGATGATCCGTTGTACCACATCCTTATCTGTGCCTATCTTGAAATAGCCATATAGAGCATTATCAATTAAACGCTGATAGATCTGTGGGGCGTTCTTCAGTCCAAAAGGCACCTGCAACCATTCAAACCTACCTGACGGCGTGGTAAACGCAGATATCGATCTTGATCGTTCGGTCATCTCTACCACCCAAAATCCACTCGCCATGTCCAGCGAACAATATCACATTGCTTTGTCCACGTCCTGCAACAATTTACTGATAAGTGGCATAGGGTACATTATTATTAGCTGTGTTAGCTGATTAACTCATCGATAGTCGATACAAAGTCGGATATATTCTCCATTTTTCTTAATAATCACGACTGTTGGTGATGCCCACGGCGATGTCGAAGGTCAGATAATCTTGGCTGACAACAGGCCTTTTATCAGATCGTCCAACTTCTCAAGAAACTATGGTGTAACAGGTTGTACACGCTTAGCGATCGGCCTCACCTCTCCCACATTAATGTCGCAAACGGCCCCGCGTGCTGCAGGGGGCAACGCATTTCCTTTCCCGATCAACAGGTGACGACTCTTCCATATCAGTCGTCGCAAATCCTCTTGATCCTCTATCAAGAATATTCCAGGATCGCCAGCCTGGATATCGTCTATTTTTATCTCGGTTGTGGATATGGTTACCTCCGGCAGCACAGCCATGTGTTGTTTCGCATCTTCCGCAGAAAGTTCACCTTCCTCGTAGTAGTATGTTGATTCATCCGGTACATCATTTTACATCACTTTGCCGTCGATCGTAACAGCTTTCACGTCGTCATCCAGTCGTGTAGACTGGCCATGCACCTCCCGATCTTCAACCTTGATCCCGTCTGGGTGACAGTTGGACTGTCCTAGGAGCAAATCAGTTATCTCATGGTTGTCTTTCGGTGTCATAGCCTCCTCTGCAAACATGTCCTCTTCACCCGAATGTTCTGGCGTCTCCCGCACTGCGTTGACCGCACACGATCTCATTGTCGATCTTCCATCCTTGCCTTCGTTATTCTTTCCACTCGTACATTCGTCCTGCAACTCTTTATCAGAGTCACCATTAGAGTCGTATAGTGAGGCGATCTCTGCAGAATCCTTGATGTCGTCTAATTTCCGTTTTGAGCGGGTCAAAATTCGGGTAGGTTTCTCATACGTAAGATGACCCACTAACGGGCCCGGGTAGGCTTCGGCTTCTTCTTCTTCTCGATCTGTAGTGGCTTCAAAAGCCAATGTCTGCCATTCCATGTACCGCCACGATCCTACAGATACGTATCCTTTAGATTGCGGAATCATGTCTTCTGTCATCCACAACGCTAAAGGGGCCCCGCAGTTTAAAATAAAGTCACGATCGCTTACATGTGTAAACTGCAGGAACTTAATTCTTCGGGACCATTCGTCACGGTAAGAATCCACGCCACATCCCGTCGCACCAAAAGTTTGATTTAGGAGGGTTGACGCCGATCCTGACTTCTGCCGATCTGCCGGCCGCAATGGCTACATGTTGATTGTTAATGTTGACCGCCGATATATTCGATCGGTACGGTGGTCTTCGTCCAGCCAGACAGATTCGAGCTTCATCGGGCAGGCAAAGGGTTCCATCGGCCAAATCCCAACAGATACCTGCAGGAACGATGGAGTCCATGCCTAGTATATCTTCTTGACCGACTTGACCTCCAACCCAGACATCAAAATAATACACAAGTGATCCGTTCAGTGTGATCTTGATCTTGGTCCGTCCTACCGTCATTTAAGTACTTTTTCCAATCCCAACACATTCTTGTGTTTGGTTTTCATCTATCACACACCTGTGGTGAAGCCGATCTCACAAAATCACTCAAGTGAGTGTCGATCTTCCACTTGCCCAGACTTGCCGAGTCACGGAGGGGGTACTCCGATCCGTGCATTGCTGTATAACCTTGTGCTTACCTTGTGTACCCGTCGGTTGGGCTGGCTTGAGCTCTTCGTAACGGTCTTGAGAGATGTCGATCTCGCTGAGAGGTTGGGTTGAGAGTTCGCTTCCGGTGCAGAAATCTTCACACCACGCACAGGGGTTCTGCGATCTTGATCTCGAGTCGCGGCGATCTCTAGTTAAAGATGTCGCGATCTCGATCTTGAATCGCACCGATCTCGATTTGTCTTCGGGATCGGGGTCTTTGCTGGGCGGAAATCTTCACTCAGCAAATAGTATTCTTGCGTCGATCTTACCTTGGGATCGGTCCGATCTAGTCTTGGGATCGTCCGATCTTGCTGGAAGTGCGCAATTTGGGTAGATCGGTCCTTGTTTTTGCCCAAAATGAAACACGCCGATCTGTCCAGTGGATCGCTTCGATCTTGCTTGGTCTTGTCTTGAACGCTTTGTCCAGATCTTCTGACCACTGAGCCGTCTCGCGATCTTGTGTCCAAAATCCTTTTCCATTGTTGCTGCTACCCTAGCAGTCGAGTTGAGAGTGAGTACTTGATCGATCCGGGCCAAACTTCCCGAGATCGGTCTGCTGTGTCCTTGTAGCACGCGTGCCTTGACCCGCCGGGAAGCCAAATCAATCTTGCCCGGAGAAGAGGGGAGGAGAACGTGCGTCGTGAGCAGAAGAAGTAGAGTTCAAGTCTGTTTATTAACCAACCAAATTGATAGCCAACCTATCGTTAAGCCTATTCCAACTATAGGTCACTCTCCAAGTCGATGTCACCTTTAAGCTTGACCGCCCCCTTGAACACGTGTCAAAATTTCATGACCTGTACTCCACAGATAGCGCCAATATCCACGATATCGTACCTAAACGCCAAAAGAGGACCAAATCCCAAATGTGGTACCAAATACCCATTTTTGGTACCCACAAGTCCGAAATAGTGCCCAAATGCCGAATGCGTCTAAATCCATTTTGCGACGTCAATTTAACCGGCTTCCACTGGCTCCTCTTTCGATCTGAACTTTCGAGACATCACTCATGGACCTTCAACAAGCATGTTTGTCATGATACAAAAGTCTCATCAACGATATATCCATAATCAGTGGGGAACATGACCGATCTGATGCCCAATTCGAGATCGTTGAGGATCGACACAGTACAATCCGGCCATATATGTTCTTCCGTTCATTGTGTGTACTCCGATACCATCCCCAACGGTTTATCTGCTCAATGGAACCATCCACAGTTCTTACAACGGTCACACGGACTCCCACAAACATCCCCACTTCCAGATCGGGCCATGATTAACCTAAATCAGTACTCCCTTTGGGAGACCCGTAGAGAGTGTCACCGATCTGCAGGATCTTACACCTTCGTCATAGAGTCACATCACATCACCTGGTCCCAGATCTTTGTCCCAGATAGCTCCATGGAAATCGTTCTATTTGTCGTCTTGTCCCAGATCGCCCCGTCTCAGATCGTTCCATACCCATCAGTCTGACGACAGTTGGATCGGATCGCCGGGTCCCATGGCCTCATTTTCCACCAGTAAGTGGCGTCTCAAATATGTGGCCACCGATCCTCGTACAAAATTTTGATTAGTGACTTTGCCACAACCGCCCCTTGTACTGAAGTCCTTTGTACAGCAATTGACCTCAGTGCAGTCACTCATCAACTTTGCTCCAACAACTCAAGTCCGTCTCATGGCCTCTCCGACGCATCTCCCCACTTTGCCGATCTCTTCAGAAGGCTCCACCGTTCTTCTGTCTCCGGATCGCGACCCGTCACCCGGTTCGCCCGATCTCGGAGGGCACACCCCAACGGTCCCAGATCGGCCTGGGTCTCCACGTCATCCAGGTCCAGCCGGATCGCCAACGATCGCCACGGGATCGACAGCCGACCAGACCCTCGTCTACAGGACACGTTCAAGCCTGCTCCATCATCTTAGTCCAAGATCGGTGTCCAAGCCCGATTGTCTTTCTTAATCGTGTAAGTCATTCAATCATCTTCTTTTTTGGTACTTCATTCTTTGCAACTTCCACGACCTCGATCCTTCTCGCTTCACATCATTCAGTAAGGTAATTCACTTGACTGTCTCCATACTCACACACAAACCACCATCCGTCAGCATGTTCTACCTCCTAGCACATCTTGCAACCTCATCCACCAACATGTGCTACCTCCTAGCACATCTTTTAACCCTTCCATCCGCATATGCTACCTCCCGCATACTTTTTCGAACTGTTAAGGTTCGTCCGACTTGCCTTCGCGAAACTGCATCGCTTCAAAACGGTTTTGACTCACTCGGTTCCGCTCAAACTCCTGCAAGATCACCCCACAACTCAGATCGGCCTCATCTACCCAACTTAAATCGGGATGTCCCTTCCACTTCACCAGAAACTTTCGGTGTACTCGCCCATAACGGGTTTTCCTACCAGATCGCACGTCCAACATTTCTTCTACTTCGTATTCTCCCTCTTCAAGATCGCTCTCCCAACTGTCTTCTGGTAACAAAGCTTCATCAAAGTCCAAACGATCTGCTTCGTCTATCGTAAGCTGATCCTTCGGCCGCTCAGGGAACGTTTTTACCTTCTTCAGCTTCGATAAATGTACAATCGGAAATAGCCGGTATGGGGTTCCAGCGATCTCCAATTTCACAGCGTGATCTCCACATATGTCCGCAACTCGGAATGGACCATGCCACATATGCGCTAGCTTCTTCGCATATTCCTCTTTGACTCGATCCAGGTATAGCCAGACTTGTGTACCTACTTCGATCTCTTGTGGTTACAGATCTTCATTGTGTCGATCCACTCGCTCCTGGATTGCGGCTTGTAAATGATCGTTCACTGCAGATCGGTCTCGCTGGTATTGTCTTTGAATTTTGTATCTCCACCTCTTTGGATTGCGATCTCGTGTTCCCGTATTCCCCACTGATAGCGTAGCTTCCAATGTCGATCGCGGGTCCCTCCCATGAATCAGATAAGATGGGGTGTCCCCCCGGATCCGATCTCGTGCGGTGTTAATTGCAAATGTGAGCCGCTCAGCATACTCATCCCAGTCTCGTTGATCAACATCATCCACGTACATCTTGAGTGAATACGTCAAGGTTTGCACCATCCGTTCGGCTGTTCCATTTGCTTGTGGCCTGTAGGCCATGGTAGCACGCTGTTTCTGTCCTACGATCCGACTGAAGGCTAAAAAAAAATCGGACATAGTCCCGGTTCTCGATCGTGCCTGATAGCCTCGCTAGCTCCGAAGCGTCGAAACACACATTCTTCGTAATTATCCGCTATTGTTTGTGGCGTCCGTGATGAGCTAGCCTTTGTAATCACATATCCCGAGAAGAGGTCTACCCATATGAGCAGATCAGTATTCCCCTTGATGGACTTGGGCAACAACGGTATTTGATCCATTGCGATGATCTGGAATGGATAGGTTGCTTGCAAGTTGCCCGGGGATCTCCCATGTATCGTCGGACTTCCTTTTCCGGTTTCTCAGTCGGTACATTCGCCCACATATCGTTGCACACTCCGATACAGTCCTCTCCAATGGAATCGCGATCTGATCCTCTGATAGGTTCTGCCGATACCTTGATGGCCTCCTTCCAGACTCGTATGATAGTGATGCAAAAAATCCTGCTGCAACGTCTCAGGAATCACCAACCGCATCAAACCATCGCGATCTTCTGACTCACTTTTCGCCATGGGGCAGAAAAATAGCAGACCGTTCTCATCGATCTCGTATTCCGGCGCTAGTTTTGTGCACATATTCACTTCTTCCGCGTCCAAGTTTGATACATCGCCACTTAGATACTTCTTGAGATTGACAATCCAACGCTCTTCATCTTGAGCTTGGACAATTCGTTGAATCCTAGTCCTCTGTACTATCTCCTCCTGTATCACTTCAGGTTCATGACGTATCCTCCCGGCTGATCTCGTGATCGCAGTTATTCGAGCCAGCTGACCATCTTGCTTGGGCTTCAACAATTCATCGAGACGGTTCAGATTCATCAGATCCTGCCGATCCTCTTCAGCTACAACGGTTCTTCCCTTTTCATTCTGCAATGCTGTGCTGGCTAGTCGATCTGCGATCTGGTTCCACTCTCGCTTCATATGCAGAAACTCGTGACTAGGCCAAGATCGCGAATTATCTAACGCTTTATGTTTCAAGAGTCGCTGGCCCGGGGCTTTGCAGTCGATCTCACCGCGCGTCTGGCGGATTACCAAATTAGAGTCCCCACAAAAGATTATTCTTCCCCTGTCCAGATCGGCCAGTAAATCGAAGCATAATAGCAAGCCATGATACTCAGCTTCATTCACGGTGAGGTCGAGAGCGTATCTGGATTTTGCCGCCACGATCGTCCACTCGGGTAACCTCCATATCACAGCACTGTACGACCCTCCTTTCTTTTTTACCCCCGCCGATCCATCAAAACTGGCCACCAGCAACTCCTCATCTGCTTCCACCGTTGGAGGAGGCGTCGATATTTTGAGCCGGCAGTCCTTTCGAGGGAAATCGCAATCAGCATCTCTTCCACCTCTTCTATCGGGGTGATACTCGCTGCTAGTATGCCCAGAATCTTTTCTTCTCCTTTTTCGCACCTCTTCACCTCCATAGTCCAGTTCGACAGCAAAGCACCCCACCGTCCTAATCTCCCGTTGAGCCCTCGAGATTGCATCAACCACGCTAACGTAGAATGTCGGTTCAGCACAGTGATCTCCCGCGAGGCAAGCGTAGTATAGCATACATCCAAAACACGAAGTAACGCCAGCACTTCCTTTTCCACCGTTCCGTAGTTAAGCTCATTGGTCTTTAAAGTGCGGCTAGTAAACGTCACCGGATGGTACACGCCATCGTACTCCTGTAACAGGCCCCCGGAAACATCCCACTTGCTAGCGTAGACCACGATCACGGGAGGGCGATCTTGGTCGAAATGTTTGAGCATGGGAGCTGTAGCTATCTTAGCCTTTAGCATAGTGAACGCAACCTTGGCTTCTGTCCATCGACCCTCGTTCGACCATTCTTCTCCTGCTGCGAGCTGAGATTGGCCGATCTCGAAGAAATCTGATTCTCTTAACTCATACAACACCGCGGCGTACCCACCCCGAAGTCCTCAATGAAACGGCGGTAGTAGTTCAAGCTCCCGAGAAAAGATTGCATAGCTCGCAGCGTGCTAGGGAACAGGATGTTGACCAACGACTCCAAGTTCTTAAGCTGAGCCTCCAGGCCATCCATCGACACTCGATGTCCCAAATAATCGACCTTACGGCACCCCCAAAAGCTCCTCGTGAGACTGATAGACAGATTCCACTTATCACATGCCTCCAGCAACCGTTATACTTTTGTGTACAAAGATTCCCATGACGTGGCTGGTATGAGAATATCGTTAATGTAAGATCGGCGTCCCAGTAAAGAGGGTCGTCGATCTGTCTCAGGTTCTCCATCTTTGAACAAGTCGATCGGGCCATCAGAAGATGATCTCTGGCCGATCTTGAGATATCCATACAGAGTATTGTCAACCAGACGTTGGTAGATCTGGGGCACGTTCTTAAGCCTAAAAGGCATTCGCAGCCACTCGAACAAGCCAAACGGCGTGACAAACGCTGGGATCAGTTTTGCTCGTTCAGTCATTTCGACGACCCAGGATCCACTAGCCATGTCTAGCGAGCAGTACCATAGAGCTTTATCCAGATATTCCAGCAGATCGCTGATCAACGGCATGGGATAAACCATCAGGCGCGTCAGCTGGTTCACTCTTCGATAAGCAATGCAAAGGCGAATATCCACTCCGTTCTTCTTGATGATCACCACTATCGGAGACGCCCAAGGTGACGTGGATGGCTGAACGGTCTTGGCTGCTGACATTCCTTTGATGAGATCTGACAGCTTCTCCCGATATTCGGGTGCGACCGGACGGACTCTTTGCGCAATTGGTGCGGCTCCACCGACATCGATATCACAAATCGCCCCTCGTGTAGCTGGTATTAGAGCGCTGCCCTTCCCCATAAGAAGGTGACGGATCTTCCAAATCAGCGATCTGAGTCTTTGTTGATCTTCGGTGTGAGGAACATCCGGATCGCCAATCTGAATGTCTTTAATTGTCACTTCTTCCGTCGCAGTGGACATCTCTGGTAACACCGCCAGGTGTTGCTCGATGTCTTCGGCAAACAAATCTCTACTCTCGTGATAGTAGACTGGTGCTTCTGCGGAGTCAGCTTCGTTGATCTTAGACGGCTTGTCCTCTTCATATCTTTGCGTCTCCTCAGACCGATCCAGTCCTGCTCTGTTGTCTGCAAGATTGACGTTCAATGAAGGAAGTCTGTCGTCTTGTTCTTCTCGTTCGGTCCCGTGATCTCTTCTCATCGCGATTTCGGTTTCGATCTCACGATCGTTATCCTTCGACGATAGATTTGTCTATTCGAGTGGATTCGATCCGACTCCGTTGACCGTTCCTTCCCTTGCAACCACAGTATCTGCCTTTTGCAAGTCGTCGTCGCCAGCTTGCTGCGTTACCATGGAGATCGCTGGAGGTACGTCCTTTAACGCAACAGACGGACGCTTCATGATGCATTTGGGAGTGGCGTACGTAGGGCGATCTACCAATGGTCCGATCTGCTCTTTTGGGAGTTCACTCACTCGATCCGTCGTAGCCTCATACACCAGATTTTGCCACTCCTTGTACTTCCCCGATCCGACCGTCACAAAACCTTGAGTCCGTGGTACCATATCGCCTTCGGTCCACAAGCCTAATATCGTGTGGGTGGGCAGTATGATCTCACGGTCGCCAATGTTGGTCATCTGCAGGTATTTCGTCTTACCCAACCCCGAGATCACAGTGGGGACCCAATCTGGTCCTCTAGCGACCCACAACTTCATCTTAGCCCCTCCGATCCCGATATTCACTTCTCTCGACTCTCCGACCGGGATCACCACATGTTGGCCCTTCGCCGTTACATGTTGTATCTTCGATCCGTACGCGGGGCGACGCCCTGCGAGATGGATACGGATTTCTTCTGGTAGACATAGCGCACCATCAGCTAGATCGAGCCGCACTCCGGCAGGCACTATAAAGTCCATGCCCAGAATCGCTTCTTGTCCTGCCAGATCGCCTACCCATACATTGAAATAGTATACCAGCGATCCCGCGAGGTTTACTTTGATCTTGGTACGTCCTATCGTCATGTACGGGGTTTCTCCGAGCCCGATACATTCTTGTCATTGAATTTCGTCAATATTGCAACCGACCTTACGAGCAAAGGTGGTGTCAATGATCAACACTTCAGCACCATAATCAAATAGCAGAGTGGCCTTTTCGTTGTTGATCTTGCCAACAGCTTTCGCCTGTTTGAATCACTTCCCGGGCGAGTAATGTTTCCAGTATCCGCGAGATTCACCGTAAGCGAGCTCGGTCTCCATAGTTGGTTCAGATCGCGAGTACTCATCGATCCTCTTCAGATGGGACACGGAAGCGACACGTCTTGACTTCGAACGAAATATATTTGTTTCCAGCTCTGTATCCTGCTTACTCTCGCGATCTTTCTTCTTTTTTTCACGTATGCAATGATGCAGAGCCCAGAACGCTCGGCTCGAACCAGATTCAAACCTGGCGAGCGTCCTAATTTAACATCTTTTCTCGGCCTTCTCTGGCAGCATCCCCGCATGCTTGGTTGGGACGTACCAATGGCGGATCATGTTGTAGAACTCCTCCATAGGACACTTCCCCGGGTCATGCATCTCACCGCAGGCGCGACACACGAAAAAACAATTGTGAAAGGGGTGTCCTTTACGCCCACAATTCTGGCAAGTGAGACGCTTCCAGCAAACGAGATCTCCATGCTTGGTCGATCCGCAATGAGTACACGGCTTCGATGGTATATTGCGATCTTGATAATCTTGACGAGTCTTCGGGTCGGCCGATCTCGCGTTTGCTGCAACGTCATCGGGGATGAACGCCAATCCGTAGTAGCAGCCACATGGATCGATCTCAATCGATCGTCCAAATCCGATCCGCAGTTGTCCAATCCTGAATCGCTACTGACGTCTTCGGTACGGACCATCCTCACCGCTCGTGCAGGCTTAGAAAACGCTGGACCCGGAGTTCCCTTCTGCCTGAACTTGGACGATCCCATCATCACTTTACCTTGACGCGATCTCCCTTGTTGGTATCCATGCAGTGTCTTTTGCACGGCATCCGCGTCTTCTACATTCAGCAGTAGCAATTGATTGGACAGATCGGGGTCGTCCAAGGTGTCAATGAAATGATTGACATGTTCCTTGCGCGCAGCTGGCGATCCAGTCATCACCGGTATCTTTGCCTGCTTTTCCCATCACATTAAGCCGATACAGGTACTGCAAAGGATCTTTTTCCGATCGTTTCTTTGCATGGTAATATTGCCGGCTCGTGGACATCCCGTGTCCCGCATATTCCACAAGAAAACTGTTCATCAATTCTTTCTAATTAAATCTCGTCGATCTATTCAGCTGTCGGTACCAGTAGTGGGTTGGGCCCAACACGAGATCACCGAAGACCAGACATCTCTATTTGTCCGGTGTTTGGTCCCGGATAAACGCTGACTTCACTTTGCCGATCCAGGTTCGCGCTTTGTCTTCTTCCCGATCCTTCCCTGAGAATTCTTTCAGCTCAGAAATCGCTGAGATTCTGATCCTCTGCGTGATGCTTCCCCCTCCGGTAGTCACACCGGTCGCGGCTACGTGAGGGCGACGTGGTTCGGGCATCCATAAATCATCCGGGTCGTATTCCGCCCCATGCTGGATCTGTTGGTAAGTGTCCGACTCCACCGATTCCATCTCCACATCCGGCATGTCATGGCTTTCGTGTGAGGGTTGGAAAAAAGTACGGCGATCTGGGTGGCGGTTTGGCTGTCGATTCATTCGCTGAGCTGTGCGTTGATCCGCCTCGTACCTCTTTATGGCTGAATTGAAGTACCGACTTAGATCGCCCTCTTCCTGATCATCCAGCCCAGTACGGGTACCGGCCGATCTCCGCGGCATGTCGCTCCTGGCTTGTCTTTTAAAGGCTTAGGTCTTGGCTTGGCCGATCTTGTCCTCTAAAAACGTGCCACCCGATGGTCCCAGAGACATCCGACGAATGCTGATGGATCCATCTGACTCGCTCTCGGAGTCATCCGAGGCGTAGCGGGGCGGTCCCGTGGGGTGTTTCCGGAGCGAGCCCGAGGGTGCCCCGATCTTGTCTTCAGGAGTATTCGTTTTGCCCACCAGCATTATCATGATCTCCACGAGCTCATTCGCCGCGTTCTACTGTTCCAAGCTGCAACTCAGCAGTTCATCTCCATCAAAGGCGTTAGGGCAGACACCCATGTCGTTCAACATCTGCAAAATCAAATTGATCTCGTCGACTTTGTTGGTCCCAGGAGGTGGGACCGAGATCGGCTTATCCAGAGGACCAATCAACTTAAGCCTTGATATCTTGAACACTGGGTCCGTCTTGAGCAGCGTCTTCAAATGGCCAAAATAGTACTGCCATTTCGCACGCCCCCGCGATTCACCCGTCGTCTCCTTCTCCCTGGACGCGATCTTCATTGATATATTCTGTCTTCGGTATCGCGATCTTATCTGATGTTTCATCGTATTCCTCTTTGACTCCGATCTTCGATTGCACGGTTCGGCCGATCTGGCGATCTTTGACGCCTGATCGCATCGATCTCGTCGTGGATTGTTCCGATGTGGTCGATCTTGCGATTGTGCTCCTCGGCTTGAGGTCGGGCGACCTATCGACTAAGGCATAGGGTTTGGCTTTCGCCGATTTGATTTTCACCATTGGATTTTCATCCAGCAGATCGCTCTTTCCAGAGCGATCTGCAGTGGCCCCCAAAAGGACCCTAGGAGGGGGTTGAGGTTTATCTTCCAGATCGATTTCTCGATCTTCCTCTTTCATTTTCATTTCATCAGAGCCCCTCCCAAAACTCTGATGATCTGAGGACCTTGTTCTTCTGCGTGTCTGCGTCAATCCCTCCACTTCAATCCAAGATTCTTGCTTGATCTTGACATCTTTGCCAGTGGACTCACGGTGAAATCCAGAGGCCTCAGAAGATCCGGGCACGCGCACCATTGTGGTGAAGCCGATCTCACAAAATCACTCAAGTGAGTGTCGATCTTCCACTTGCCCAGACTTGCCGACTCACGGAGGGGGTACTCCGATCCGTGCATTGCTGTATAACCTTGTGCTTACCTTGTGTACCCGTCGGTTGGGCTGGCTTGAGCTCTTCGTAACGGTCTTGAGAGATGTCGATCTCGCTGAGAGGTTGGGTTGAGAGTTCGCTCCCGGTGCGGAAATCTTCGCACCACGCACAGGGGTTCTGCGATCTTGATCTCGAGTCGCGGCGATCTCTAGTTAAAGATGTCGCGATCTCGATCTTGAATCGCACCGATCTCGATTTGTCTTCGGGATCGGGGTCTTTGCTGGGCGGAAATCTTCACTCAGCAAATAGTATTCTTGCGTCGATCTTACCTTGGGATCGGTCCGATCTAGTCTTGGGATCGTCCGATCTTGCTGGAAGTGCGCAATTTGGGTAGATCGGTCCTTGTTTTTGCCCAAAATGAAACACGCCGATCTGTCCAGTGGATCGCTTCGATCTTGCTTTGTCTTGTCTTGAACGCTTTGTCCAGATCTTCTGACCACTGAGCCGTCTCGCGATCTTGTGTCCAAAATCCTTTTCCATTGTTGCTGCTACCCTAGCAGTCGAGTTGAGAGTGAGTACTTGATCGATCCGGGCCAAACTTCCCGAGATCGGTCTGCTGTGTCCTTGTAGCACGCGTGCCTTGACCCGCCGGGAAGCCAAATCAATCTTGCCCGGAGAAGAGGGGAGGAGAACGTGCGTCGTGAGCAGAAGAAGTAGAGTTCAAGTCTGTTTATTAACCAACCAAATTGATAGCCAACCTATCGTTAAGCCTATTCCAACTATAGGTCACTCTCCAAGTCGATGTCACCTTTAAGCTTGACCGCCCCCTTGAACACGTGTCAAAATTTCATGACCTGTACTCCACAGATAGCGCCAATATCCCTGATATCGTACCTAAACGCCAAAAGAGGACCAAATCCCAAATGTGGTACCAAATACCCATTTTTGGTACCCACAAGTCCGAAATAGTGCCCAAATGCTGAATGCGTCTAAATCCATTTTGCGACGTCAATTTAACCGGCTTCCACTGGCTCCTCTTTCGATCTGAACTTTTGAGACATCACTCATGGACCTTCAACAAGCATGTTTGTCATGATACAAAAGTCTCATCAACGATATATCCATAATCAGTGGGGAACATGACCGATCTGATGCCCAATTCGAGATCGTTGAGGATCGACACAGTACAATCCGGCCATATATGTTCTTCCGTTCATTGTGTGTACTCCGATACCATCCCCAACGGTTTATCTGCTCAATGGGACCATCCACAGTTCTTACAACGGTCCCACGGACTCCCACAAACATCCCCACTTCCAGATCGGGCCATGATTAACCTAAATCAGTACTCCCTTTGGGAGACCCGTAGAGATTGTCACCGATCTGCAGGATCTTACACCTTCGTCATAGAGTCACATCACATCACCTGGTCCCAGATCTTTGTCCCAGATCGCTACATGGAAATCGTTCTATTTGTCGTCTTGTCCCAGATCTCCCCGTCTCAGATCGTTCCATACCCATCAGTCTGACGACAGTTGGATCGGATCGCCGGGTCCCATGGCCTCATTTTCCACCAGTAAGTGGCGTCTCAAATATGTGGCCACCGACCCTCGTACTAAATTCCGATTAGTCACTTTGCCACATATCCAACCCAAGAGAAGATCGACACGAATGTGTTTAGAAGCAAATAGAATTCTGCTGTATGTTAACCAATCAGACCCTCACACCTTACACCTATAAATCGGAAAATCAGATGCCATGCGTTGCCTCTACAGATCGCCCCTTGTATCCATGTGGCACAGACCTGACACACCAACCGTTTGATCGCATCCGGGCATGGTCCACGCTAGATCGCGGTCCCTTGACCGTAGCCCCCGATCGCGGTCTCCTGATCGCAGTTTCCTGATCGCGGCCCCTGATCGCGGTCTTCTGATCGCAGTCCCCTGATCGCGGTCCCCTGATCGCGGCCCCTTCGCCGTTCTGACCCGTTCTGACCCGTTCTGACCGGATGAGACATTTCCGTGAATGATCCCAACGGTGCCATCCATATGATTGGTCCTCGTCCCTCGATCATTCCGCCGGTCCTTACTCCGTACTTAGGCATACGTTTGAGGCTTTACGACACCGATCTTGATCGACTTACCACAATCCTGCCAGCAGATCGTGATCCTTCTAGCAGATCGTGATCCTCTTAGCGGATCGTGATCCTACTAGCAGATCTTAATCCTACTAGTGGATCATGATCCTACTGGCGGATCGTGATCCTACTAGTAGACCGTGATCCTACTTGCGTATCGTGATCCTACTAGTGGATCGTGATCCTACTGATCTTGATCCTACTAGTGGATCGTGATCCTACCAGCAGATCGTGATCCTACTAGCGGATCGTGCTACTATTAGCGGATCGCAGATGAGATCGGACTTGCGATCCTGGGCTAGGATCGCGGTCTTCCAGTGAAATCAAGGGTCTTGTCTTCCCATGTCTCGCGACGGATTGCGTTATCAAACGGGTGTGATCACCCTGTAGCCTTGTCCCAGGACGGACGATCCTGTCCACTTGAGGGTTGGGTACGCTAATGCCAGCTAACCGTCCCGGCCTGTATCCACCAATCATAGCATTCTTGGCTTAACTGAAGCGTGCGACCCGTGCCATCGCCGATTCAAGTCCCAATAGAAATTTCCCTGTGACCGCTTTGCCACACATATCACTGGCGGATCAAGTTAAAGAACTCTTCCATGGGGCATTTGCCATTCTCAAGTACCTTTCCACATGCTGCACACACGTAGAAGCACTTGTCCGATGGATGCCCTTTGCGACCGCACTTCTGGCACGTTAGTCTCTGCCAGCATCCACGAACATCAAGTCGCGTCGATCCACAGTGAGTGCATGCCTTCGATTTTCCACCTCGATCACCTCTATCTTCTTGACCAGTATTCTTCTGCCAGGTACGATGATCTTGATCCGATCTCTTTTGACCAGATGTATTGGTCACACAAACTCGGTGGCGACCCTTGTCTTCATCCGATCCAATCGATCTCGATTCCGATCCGCTCACGGATTGCCCTCACCGCTCGAGCAGTCTTGGATGGCGTAGGATTTGGAAGGCATTCGCTCGCTGGTGGAACTTGTTCGATCCTGTCGACGTCTTCAACTGACGACTCTCCATACTTTGGCACGCACGTAGCGTCTCATCCAGCTTATCGACATCGACCAATCGTAGTAGGGTCAGTTGCTTGGCCAGATCGCGATCGTCCAACGTGGCAATGAAATGTTCCACATGTTCACGACGTGTGTCCGATGTGGTCACCCTCTCGTCTCTGATCGCGATCGTGGCATGCTTAGCCCCGACATTTAGGCAGTGTAGATACTCCTGTGAATTTATATCCGATCGTTTCCGTGCAAGATAGTATTGTCTGGCCAGAGACACACCTTGCCCTCCATACTGTACCATAAACTTATCTAGCAATCTCTTCCACTTCTTTCGAGTGAATCGACCTAGTTGGTTATACCAGTGTCGAGCAGGTCCTGTTAGCAGATCTCCGAACACCAAACACTTCTCCTCATCGGGTGCTTGATCGCACAAGAAGGCCGATTTGACCTTGCTGATCCAGCTTCTGGCCCAATCTTCATCGCGATCCTTGCCACTGAATTCTTTCAGCTCTGTCATTGCCAACACTCGAATGCGTTGAGGTATGCTACCACCATCTTGAAACGTCTCGGTCAGAGCTACCATAGCGTGTCTACGATCTTCTTGTCCCGAATCATCGGGATCGATGTCGTCAGGGTCGAAAACCTCCGGTAGACAGATGCGCGACTGCGCCGATTCCATCTGCACATCGGAGGTATATCTTTCACGGGATCTAGCAGGCTTGATCCTTTGGCTAGGGTAGGTCGCTTGATACGCTCATTCCCGTTGATCTTGGCAAAAACGTTCCATGGCCTCATCGAGGTATGTCTGCAGTAGTCCTTGCGAAATAGTCGTCATCTGCTCTTTAGCAACTGTGGCCTTCGATCGCGAGTTCAGCTTCACCGACTCGACTCGATCGCGTAGACGTGTTGTACCACTTGGGCCTAGAGACATTCGCTGGATGCCGACGGAATCGTCCGACTCCATCTCTGATTTCGCCGAGGCGTATTGTGACGATCCGGTGTGATACCCCCTCGGGGCATCGGCGATCGTGGCAAACGCTTAATCCGCGGATTCGCACTTCCCCTTCAGAGGAATTAGCTTGTCATACAGCGATCGGAACGCATGGATCACCTGATCCTGATCGCATTCCAGCAGTTCGATGGCATCGAACGCCTCAGCGACGTATCCAGCATCTCGCAGCAGCTGGATGATCGCGCTGATCCCTTCTACTGCGTTAGTCGCCACCTTCGGTCGGGATATCGGGCCTTGTATCTCTCCGATTAGCTTAGGATTCAGTATCCGTAGCACGGGGTCACTCGATAGCAGATTCTTGAGCGCCTTCCAATGGATTCTCTCCGCCAGTTGATATAACTGCCAGCTTTGCGTCTTCATATCCAGAGCATCGTCCCCGAACTTGATCGGTTTCACGATCGCTTTCACGCCGCGATCGTGTCGATTCGATCAGAGCTCTTCTTTCTTCACTCGATCTGTCTTTAAATTCTTCTTCTTCGACATTTCCTGAGTGGTCTTGTGTAGTTTTTGTTCAGTTTTCGCTGAAGGGTCATCACCCAGCGGATCGTGTTTTGCAGCACGATCCGAGGTGGTCCCCAAAAGGACCTCATGAGGGGTTTGTGGTCTGTCTTCCAGATCGATCGATCTTCCTCATTGATTTTCTTGTCATCAGAGCCCCTACCAAAACTTTGATAATCCAGGAATTATTAAAAACAGCGTGTCGGTGGCGATCCTTTGCCTCTACCGCTTCCATCCCAGGTTCAGTCTTGACTTTCACTTATTCACTTAGGGACTCAAGGTGAAATCCCGAGTCACCAGAAGATCCGGGCACGCGCACCATTGTGGTGGAGTGGCAATCGCTCAATATACAAGTCGATATCAACTATCCACTGGCGCCCGGACGACCGACTAACGGAGGGGGTACTCCGATTCCGTGTGTATTGCCTTCCTCACCTTGTGTACCCGTCGGTAAAGCGGGTTGCACTCTTCCAGGCGAGCTCGTGTCGAAGGAAAACTTGAACGTGTTGGAGATAGGGTTGTGATCGTACGGAAATCTTCACGCGGGCACGGGGTACTTGTGTGTACTGATATAAGCTACCCTGACCTCAACGAGATCGCCTTGTCCACTATGTGGTTGCTTGATTCGCGAGCCTTCTGACCACTTGAGCCGTCTCGCGATCTTGCGCCTTGCCTTTACGTGTTCTGCTGTATCCGATCGCAGTTGATGTTGCTTGAGAGTTCTTGAACACACCTAGCCAAAACAATCCAGGTGTGATGCTTGCGTAAACGTGCAGCGCGACTCTTTATTCGACGGGGCCAAAAATCCTACCTGGAAAAGATAAAGTGTGCCTTGTGAAGTAATTTGAGCTCTGTTTAATGTCAACCAACCAGTTTAAACCCTACTCCTATGCCTATCCGACTATCCTAACCAGATACCACGCGTCGCCTTTCCAGGAAGATCACCCCCTCGCATTTGTGTGGTCCACACTCAGTATATCAGCAGTTGTATCTTCTTGTGGCCCACCCAAGATATTCCCATGATCCTGCTAGCGGATCGTGATCCTACTAGCGGATCGTGATCCTACTAGCGGATCGTGATCCTACCAGTGGATCGTGATCCTACCGGTAAATTGTGATCCTACTGGCGGATCGTGATCCTACTAGTGGATCGTGATCCTACTAGCGGATCGTGATCCTACTAGTGGATCGTGATCGTACTAGCGGATCATGATCCTATTAGCGGACCGTGATCTTACTACTGGATTTTGGCAAAGTCACTAATCAAAATTTTGTACGAGGATCGGTGGCCACATATTTGAGACGCCACTTACTGGTGGAAAATGAGGCCATAGGACCCGGCGATCCGATCCAACTGTCGTCAGACTGATGGGTATGGAACTATCTGAGACGGGGCGATCTGGGACAAGACGACAAATAGAACGATTTCCATGGAGCTATCTGGGACAAAGATCTGGGACCAGGTGATGTGATGTGACTCTATGACGAAGGTGTAAGATCCTGCAGATCGGTGACACTCTCTACGGGTCTCCCAAAGGGAGTACTGATTTAGGTTAATCATGGCCCGATCTGGAAGTGGGGATGTTTGTGGGAGTCCGTGTGACCGTTGTAAGAACTGTGGATGGTCCCATTGAGCAGATAAACCGTTGGGGATGGTATCGGAGTACACACAATGAACGGAAGAACATATATGGCCGGATTTTACTGTGTCGATCCTCAACGATCTCGAATTGGGCATCAGATCGGTCATGTTCCCCACTGATTATGGATATATCGTTGATGAGACTTTTGGATCATGACAAACATGCTTGTTGAAGGTCCATGAGTGATGTCTCAAAAGTTCAGATCGAAAGAGCCAGTGGAAACCGGTTAAATTGACGTCGCAAAATGGATTTAGACGCATTCGGCATTTGGGCACTATCTCGGGCTTTTGGGTATTAAAAAGGGGTATTTGGTACCACATTTGGGATTTGGTCCTCTTTTTGGTGTCTAGGTACGATATCGGGAGTATTGGCGCTATCTTTGGAGTACAGGTCACGAAGTTTCGACACGTGTTCAAGGGGGCGGTCAAGCTTAAAGGTGATATCGACTTGGAGAGTGACCTACGGTTTGATATAGGCTTAAAGATAGGCTGGCTATTAATTTGGTAGGTAAATAAACAGACTTGAACTCTACTTCTTCTGCTCACGACGCACGTTCTCCCCCCCTCTTCTCCGGGCAAGATTGATTTGGCTTTCCCGGCGGGTCAAGGCACGCGTGTTACAAGGACACAGAAGACCGATCTTGGATTGTTGGCCAAGATCGGGAAGAGCGACCGTGGGAAGTTTGGCCCGGATCGATCAAGTACTCACTCTCAACTCAATTGCTAGGGTAGCAGCAACAAAGGAAAAGGATTTTGGACACAAGATCGCGAGACGGCTCAAGTGGTCAGAAGATCCGGACAAGGCGTTCAAGACAAGACTGAGCAAGACCAAGGCGATCTACCGGACAGATCAGCGTGTTTCATTTTGGCGAAACAAGAGACCGATCTGCCCAAATTGCGCACTTCCAGCAAGATCGGACGATCCCAAGACCAGATCGGACCGATCCCAAGGCAAGATCGACGCAATAATACTATTTGCTGAGTGACGATTTCCGCACAGCAAAGACCCCGATCCCGAGCACAAATCGAGATCGGTGTGATCCAAGATCAAGATTGCAACATCTTCAAATAGAGATTGCCGCTGCTTAAGATCAGGATCGCAGAACTCCTGTTTGTGGTGTGAAGATTTCCGCACCGGAAGCGAACTCTCAACCCAACCTATCAGCAAGATCGACATCCTCTCAAGGCCGTTACGAAGAGCTCAAGCCAGCCCAACCGACGGGTACACAAGGTGAGCACAAGGTTATACAGCAAGGCACGGATCGGAGTACCCCCTCCGTGAGTCGGCAAGTCTGGGCTAGTGGAAGATCGGCACTCACTAAAGTAATTTTGTGAGATCGGCTTCAGCACAATGGTGCGCGTGCCCAGATCTTCTGAGGCCTCTGGATGTCACTGTGAGTCCACTGGCGAAGATGTCAAGATCAAGCAAGAACCTGGGATTGAAGTGTCAGCGACAGAGGGGTCGACGCAGACACGCAGAAGCACAAGATCCTCAGATTATCAGAGTGTTGGGAGGGGCTCTGATGAAATAAAAATGAAAGAGGAAGATCGAGAGATCGATCTGGAAGATAAACCTCAATCCCCTCTTAGGGTCCTTTCGGGGGCGACCGCAGATCGCTCTGGAAAGAGCGATCTGCTGGATGAAAATCCAATGGTGGAAACCAAATCGGCGAAAGCCAAACCTATGCCTTAGTCGATAGGTCGCCCGACCTCAAGCCGAGGAGCACAATGGTGAGATCGACCACATCGGAACGATCAACGACGAGTTCGATGGGATCAGACGTCAACGATCGCCAGATCGGCCGAACTGTGCAATTGAAGATCGGAGTCAAAGAGGAATACGATTGAAACACCAGATAAGATCTCGACGCCGAAGACGGAATATAAACCAATGAAGATCGCGTCCAGGGAGAAGGAGACGACGGGTGAAGCGCGGGAGCGTGCGAAATGGCAATACTATTATGGCCATTTAAAGACGCTGCTCAAAACGTACCCAGTGTTCAAGTTATTAAGGCCCAACTTGATTGGTTCTCTGGATAAGCCGATCTCGGTCCCACCTCCTAAACCAACAAAGTCGACGAGATCAATTTGATTTTGCAGATGTTGGATGACATGGGTGTCTGCCCTAACGCCTTTGATGGAGATGAACTGCTGATTTGCAGCTTGGAATAGTTGAAGAACGCGGCGAAAGAGTTTGTGGAGATCATGATAATGCTGGTGGGCAAAGCGAATACTCTTGAAGACAAGATCGGGACACCCTCGGGCTCGCTCCGGAAACACCCCGCAGGATCGCCCCACTACGCCTCGGATGACTCCGAGAGCGAGTCAGATGGATCCATCAGCATTCGTCGGATGTCTCTGGGACCATCGGGTGGTACGTTTTTAAAGGGCGAGATTTTAATTTGTTATTAAATGATAAAATAAATTGTTTGTGATATATTCTTTTAAAAGTTCTTAGGTTCTATTCAACTTTTTTATTGATAAAGTTTTGGCCAAGCCAAGACCGACGCCTTTAAAGGACAAGCCAGGATCGACATGCCACGGAGAACGGTCGGTACCCGTACTGGGATGGAAGATCAGATAGAGGGCGATCTAAGTCGGTACTTCAATGCAGCCGTGAAGAAGTACGAGGCGGATCAACGTACAGCTCAGCGAATGAATCGACAGCCAAACCGCCACCCAGATCGCCGTACTTTTCTCCAACCCTCACACGAAAGCCATGACATGCCGGATGTGGAGATGGAATCGGTGGAGTCGGACACTTACGAACAGATTCATCATGGGGCGGAATACGACCTGGATAATTTATGGATGCTTGAACCACGGCGCCGTCACATAGCCGCGACCGGTGTGACTACCGACGGGGGAACATCACGCAGAGGATCAGAATCTCAGCGATTTCTGAGCTGGAAGAATTCTTAGGGAAGGATCGGGAAGAAGACGAAGCACAAACCTGGATCGGAAAAGTGAAGTCAGCGTTTATCCGGGACCAAGCACCGGACGAAGAGAGATGTCTGGTCCTCGGGCATCTCATGGTGGGCCCAGCCCGCTACTGGTACCGACAGCTGAGTAGATCGACGAGATTCAATTGGAAAGAATTAAAGAACAGTTTTCTTGTGGAATATGCGGGACACGGGATGTCCACGAGCCGACAATATTACCACGCAAAGAAACGATCGGAGAAATCCTTTGCAGTGCCTGTATCGGCTTACTGTGATGGGAATGCAGGCGAAGATACCGGTGATGACTGGATTGCCAGCTGCACGAAAGGAACATGTCGATCATTTCATTGACACCTTGGACGACCCCGATCTGTCCAATCAATTGCTACTGCTGAATGTGGAAGATGCGGATGCCATGCAAAAGACACTGCATGGGTATCAACAAGGGAGATCGCGTCAAAGGAAAGTGATGATTGGATCGTCCAAGTTCAGGCTGAAGGGAATTCCGGGTCCAGCGTTTTCTAAGCCTGCACGAGCGGTGAGGATGGTCCGTACCGAGGAAGTCAGCAGCGAGTCAGGATCGGACACCTGCGGATCGGATTTGGAAGATCGATTGAGATCGATCCATCTGGCTGCTACTACGGATCGACCTGTATCCCGTATTGACGTTGCAGCAAACGCGAGATCGTCCGACCTGAACACTCGTCAAGATCATCAAGATCGCAATATGCCATCGAAGCCGTGTACTCATTGCGGATCGACCAAGCATGGAGATCTCGGTTGCTGAAAGCGGCTTACTTGTCGGAAGTGTGGGCGTAAAGGACACCCCTCTAAAAATTGTTTTACGTGTGTCGCGCCTGCGGTGAGATGCATGACCCGGGGAAGTGTCCTACGGAAAAGTTCTACAACATGATCCGCCAGTGGTACGTCCCAACCAAGCATGCGGGGATGCTGCCAGAGAAGGCCGAGAAGATATTAAACTAGGACGCTCGCCAGGTTTGAATCTGGTACGCGCCGAGCGTTCTGGGCTCTGCATCATTGCATACGTAGAAAAAAAGAAGACAGATTGCGAGAGTAAGCATGATACAGATATGGAAACAAATATGTTTCGTTCGAAGTCAAAACGTGTCGCTTCCGTGTCCCATATAAAGAGGATCGATGAGTACTCGCGATCTAAACCAACCATGGAGATCGAGCTTGCTTACGGTGAATCTCGCGGATACTGGAAACATTAATCGCCCGGGAAGTTGTTTAAACAGGCGAAAGCTGTTGGCAAGATCAACAACGAAAAGGATACTCTGCTATTTGATTCTGGTGCTGAAGTGTAGATCATTGACACCACCTTTTCTCGATAGGTCGGTTGCAATATTGACGAAAGTCAACGACAAGAATGTATCGGGATCGGAGACACCCCCTACATGACGATAGGACGTACCAAGATCAAAGTAACCCTCTCGGGATCGCTGGTATACTATAATGTATGGGTAGGCGATCTGGCAGGGCAAGAAGCGATTCTGGGCATGGACTTTATGGTGCCTGCCGGAGTGCGGCTCGATCTAGCTGATGGCGCGCTATGTCTACCAGAAAAAATCCGTATCCATCTCGCAGGACGTCGCCCCGCGTACGGATCGAAGATACAACACGTGACGGCGGAGGACCAACATGTGGTTATCCCGGTTGGAGAGTCAAGAAAAATGAAGACCGCGATCGGAGGGGCTAAGATGAAATTGTGGGTCGCTAGAGGACCAGATTGGGTCCCCACTGTGATTTCGGGGTCGGGTAAGACGAAATACCTGCAGATGACCAACATCGGCGACCGTGAGATCATACTTCCCACGCACACGATATCAGGCTTGTGTACCGAAGGCGATATGGTACCACGAACTCAAGGTTTTGTGACGGTCGGATCGGGGAAGTACAAGGAGTGGCAAACTCTGGCGTACGAAGCTACGACGGATTGGGTGAATGAGCTCCCAAAAGCGCAGATCGGACCATTGGTAGATCGCCCTACGTACGTCACTCCCAAATGCATCGTGAATCGTCCGTATGATGCGTTAAAGAACATACCTCCAGCGATCTCCATGGTAACGCAGCAAGCTGGTGACGACGACTTGCAAAAGGCAGATACTGTGGTTGCAAGGGAAGGAACGGTCAACGGAGTCGGATCGATTCACTTGATGAAACAAATCTATCGTCGAAGGATAACGATCGTGAGATCGAAACCAAGATCGCGATGAAAAGAGATCATGGGACCGAACGAGAAGAACAAGAAAACAGACTGTCTTCACTGAACGTCAATCTTGCAGACAACAGAGCAGGAATGGATCGGTCCGAGGCGACGCAAAGATCTAAAGAGGACAAGCCGTCTAAGATCGACGAAGCTGACTCCGCAGAAGCACCAGTCTACTATCACGAGAGTGAAGATTTGTTTGCCGAAGACATCGAGCAACACCTGGCGGTGTTACCAGAGATGTCCACTGCTACGGAAGAAGTGACAATTGACGACATTCAGATCGGCGATCCGGACGTTCCTCTCACCGCAGATCAACAAAGACTCAGATCGCTGATTTGGAGGAGCCGTCACCTTCTTATGGGGAAGGGCAATGCTCTACCACCAGCGGCACGAGGGGCGATTTGTGATATCGATGTCGGTGGAGCCGCACCAATTGCGCAAAGAGTCCGTCCGGTCGCACCCAAATATCGGGAGAAGCTGTCAGATCTCATCAAAAGGACTGTTGGCAGACAAGATCGTTCAGCCATCCACGTCAACTTGGGCGTCTCCGATAGTGGTGATCATCAAGAAGAACGGAGTGGACATTCGCCTTTGCATTGATTATCGAAGAGTGAACCAGCTGACGCGCCTAATGGTTTATCCCATGCCGTTGATCAGCGATCTGCTGATAGATTTGGATAAAGCTCTATGGTACTGTTCGCTAGACATGGCTAGTGGATTACGGGTCGTCGAAACGACTGAACGAACAAAACTGATCTCAGCGTTTGTCACGCCGTTTGGCTTGTTCGAGTGGCTGAGAATGCTTTTTGGGCTAAAGAACGGGCCCCAGATCTACCAACGTCTGGTTGACAATGCGTTGTATGGATATCTCAAGATCGGCCAGAGATCAGCCTCTGATGGCCCGATCGACGTGTTCAAAGATGGAGAACCTGAGACAGATCGACGACCCTCTATACTGGGACGCCGATCTTACATTGACGATATTCTCATACCAGCCACGTCATGGGAATCTTTGTACACAAAAGTAGAACGGTTGCTGGAGGCTTGTGATAAGTGGAATCTGTCTATCAGTCTCACGAAGAGCTTTTGGGGGTGCCGCAAGGTCGATTATTTGGGACATCGAGTGTCGATGGATGGTCTGGAGGCTCAGCCCAAGAACTTGGAGTCGTTGGTCAACATCCCGTTCCCTAGCACGCTGCGAGCTATGCAATCTTTTCTCGGGAGCTTGAACTACTACCGCCGTTTCATTCAGGACTTCGCGGTGTACGCCGCGGTGTTGTATGAGTTAAGAGAATCGGATTTCTTTGAGATCGGCCGATCGCAGCAGGAGACAAATGGTCGAACGAGGGTCGATGGACAGAAGCCAAGGTTGCTTTCACTATGCTAAAGGCTAAGATAGCTACATCTCCCATGCTCAAACATTTTGACCCAGATCGCCCTCCCGTAATCGTGGTCTACGCTAGCAAGTGGGCTGTTTCAGCGGCCCTGATACAGGAGTACGATGGCGTGTACCATCCAGTGACGTTTACTAGCCGCACTTTAAAGCCCAATGAGCTTAACTACGGAACGGTGGAAAAGGAAGCGTCGGCCATACTTCGTGTTTTGGATGTATGCTATACTACACTTGCCTCGCGGGAGATCACTGTGCTGACCCGACATCCTACGTTATTGTGGTTGATGCAATCTCGAGGGCTCAACGGGAGATTAAAACGGTGGGCTGCTTCGCTGTCGAACTGAACTATGGAGGTGAAGAGGTGAGAAAAGGAGAAGAAGAGACTTTAGGCATGCTAGCAGCGAGTATCACCCCAAGAGAAGAGGTGGAAGAGATATTGATTGCGATTTCCCTTGAAAGGACTGCCGACTCAAAATATCGACGCCTCCTATAACGGTGGAAGCAGATGAGGAGTTGCTGGTGCCCAGTTTCGATGGATAGGCGAGGATGAAAAAGAAAGGAGAGTCGTACAGTGCTGTGATATGAAGATTAACCGAGTGGACGATCGTGGCGGCAGAATCCAGATACGCTCTCGACCTCACCGTGAATGAAGCTGAGTATCATGGCTTGCTATTATGCTTCAATTTACTGGCCGATCTGGACAGGGGAAATATCATCTTTGTGGGGACTCTAATTTGTTGATCCGCCAGATGCGCGGTGAGATCTATTGCAAAGCCTCGGGCCTGCTACTCTTGAAACATAAAGCTTCAGAGAAATTGCGATCTTGGCCTAGTCACGAGTTTCTGCCTATGTAGCGAGAGTGGAACCAGAGCACAGATCGACTAGCCAGCACAGCATTGCAGAATGAAAAGGGAAGAACCGTTGTAGCTGAAGAAGATCGGCAAGATCTGATGACTCTGAACCGTCTCGATGAATTGTTGAAGCCCAAGCAAGATTGTCAGCTGGCTCGGATAACTGCAATTACGAGATTAGCCGGGAGGATACGTCATGAACCTGAAGTGATACAGGAGGCTATAGTACAGATGACTAGGATTCAACGAATTGTCCAACCTCAAGATGAAGAGCGTTGGATTGGCAACATCAAGAAGTATCTAAGTGGCGATGTATCAAAATTGGACGCGGGAGAAGTGAAGATGTGCGCAAAACTGGCGCTGGAATACGAGATCGATGAGAATGATCTGCTATCTGCCCCATGGCGAATTGAGAGTCACAGATCGCGATAATTTGATGCAGTTTGGTGATCCCTGAGACGTTGCAGCAGGATTTTTTGCATCACTATCATACGAGTCTGGAAGGAGGCCATCAAGGTATCGGCAGAACCTATCAGAGGATCAGATAGCGATTCCATTGGAGAGGACTGTATCGGAGTGTGCAACGATATGTGGGCGAATGTACCGACTGTAAAACCAGAAAAGGAAGTCCGACGATTCATGGGAGATCCCCGGGCAACTTGCAAGCAACCTATCAATTCCAGATCATCGCAATGGATCATATACCGTCATTGCTCAAGTCCATCAAGGGGAATACTGAGTTGCTCATTGGGGTGGACCTCTTCTCGGGATATGTGATTGCAAAGGCTAGCTCATCACGGACGGCACAAACAAAAGCGGAGAATTACGAAGAATGTGTGTTTCGACGCTTCGGAGCTAGCGAGGCTATCAGTCATGATCGAGAACCGGGATTTATGTCCGATTTTTTTGAGCTTTCAGTCGGATCGTAGGACAGAAACAGCGTGCTACCATGGCCTACAGGCCACAAGCAAATGGAACAGCCGAACGGATGGTGCAAACCTTGACGCATTCACTCAAGATGTACGTGGCTGATGTTGATCAACGAGACTGGGATGAGTATGCTGAGCGGCTCACATTTGCAATTAACACCGCACAAGATCGGATCCGGGGGGACTCCCCATTTCATCTGATTCATGGGTGGGACCCGCGATCGACATTGGAAGCTACGCTATCACTGGGGAATACGGGAACACGAGATCGCGATCCAAAGAGGTGGAGATACAAAATCCAAAGACAATCCCAGCGAGCCCGATCTGCAGTGAACGATCATTTACAAGCGCGATCCAGGAGCGAGCGGATCGATACAATGAAGATCTGGAACCACACGAGACCGAAGTAGGTACACAAGTTTGGCTGTACCTGGATCGAGTCAAAGAGGGATGTGCGAAGAAGCTAGCGCATATGTGGCACGGTCCATGTCGAGTTGCGGACATATTTGGAGATCACGCTGTGAAATTGGAGATCGCTGGAACCCCATATCGGCTATTTCCGATCGTATATTTATTAAAGCTGAAGAAGGTAAAGACGTTCCCTGAACGGCCGAAGGATCAGCTTACAATAGACGAAGCAGATCGTTTGGACTTTGATGAAGCTTTGTACCAGAAGACAGTTGGGAGAGCGATCTCGAAGAGGGAAAATACGAAGTAGAAGAAATATTGGACGTGCGATCTGGTAGGAAAACCCGTTATGGGCAAGTACACCGACAGTTTCTGGTGAAGTGGAAGGGATATCCCGATTTAAGTTGGGTAGATGAGGCCTATCTGAGTTATGGGGCGATCTTGCAGGAGTTTGAGCGGAGCCGAGTGAGTCGAAACCGTTTTGAAGCGACGCAGTCTCACGAAGGCAAGTCGGACGAAACTTAACGGTCGGGGTCGAAAAAGTATGCTGGGAGGTAGCATATGCGGATGGAAGGGTTGAAAGATGTGCTAGGAGGTAGCACATGTTGGTGGATGAGGTTGCAAGGTGTGCTAGGAGGTAGCACATGCTGACGGATGGTGGTTTGTGTGTGAGTATGGAGACAGTCAAGTGAATTACCTTACTGAATGATGTGAAGCGAGAAGGATCGAGGTCGTGGAAGTTGCAAAGAATGAAGTACCAAAAAAGAAGATGATTGAATGACTTACACGATTATGAAAGACAATCGGGCTTGGACACCGATCTTGGACTAAGATGATGGAGCAGGCTTGAACGTGTCCTGTAGACGAGGGTCTGGTCGGCTGTCGATCCCGTGGCGATCGTTGGCGATCCGGCTGGACCTGGATGACGTGGAGACCCAGGCCGATCTGGGACCGTTGGGGTGTGCCCTCCGAGATCGGGCGAACCGGGTGACGGGTCGCGATCCGGAGACAGAAGAACGGTGGAGCCTTCTGAAGAGATCGGCAAGGTGGGGAGATGCGTCGGAGAGGCCATGAGACGGACTTGAGTTGTTGGAGCAAAGTTGATGAGTGACTGCACTGAGGTCAATTGCTGTACAAAGGACTTCAGTACAAGGGGCGGTTGTGGCAAAGTCACTAATCAAAATTTTGTACGAGGATCGGTGGTCACATATTTGAGACGCCACTCACTGGTGGAAAATGAGGCCATGGGACCCGGCGATCCGATCCAACTGTCGTCAGACTGATGGGTATGGAACGATCTCAGACGGGGTGATCTGGGACAAGACGACAAATAGAACGATTTCCATGGAGCGATCTGGGACAAAGATCTGGGACCAGGTGATGTGATGTGACTCTATGACGAAAGTGTAAGATCCTGCAGATCGGTGACACTCTCTACGGGTCTCCCAAAGGGAGTACTGATTTAGGTTAATCATGGCCCGATCTGGAAGTGGGGATGTTTGTGGGAGTCCGTGGGACCGTTGTAAGAACTGTGGATGGTTCCATTGAGCAGATAAACCGTTGGGGATGGTATCGGAGTACACACAATGAACGGAAGAACATATATGGCCGGATTGTACTGTGTCGATCCTCAACGATCTCGAATTGGGCATCAGATCGGTCATGTTCCCCACTGATTATGGATATATCGTTGATGAGACTTTTGTATCATGACAAACATGCTTGTTGAAGGTCCATGAGTGATGTCTCAAAAGTTCAGATCGAAAGAGGAGCCAGTGGAAGCCGGTTAAATTGACGTCGCAAAATGGATTTAGACGCATTCAGCATTTGGGCACTATTTCGGGCTTGTGGGTACCAAAAATGGGTATTTGGTACCACATTTGGGATTTGGTCCTCTTTTGGCGTTTAGGTACGATATCGGGGATATTGGCGCTATCTGTGGAGTACAGGTCATGAAATTTTGACACGTGTTCAAGGGGGCGGTCAAGCTTAAAGGTGACATCGACTTGGAGAGTGACC